TGGGCAGAATTTCAGCGTTTCTTCCAGTTTATCTGTTTCTCCGGTCGACGTAGCAGTCAAATACTACTTCAACTGGAGCTGCAAACAAAAATTGCTTAAAAAATTCATCGTATGTCTCCATGCGACTACTCGACTCCGGCCCCTTCCTTGCACGCCGACTGCGCACGATGACGGGGGAAGGCAATGCGTGGGACGGAAGTTTTTTATTATGAATGAAGTTTCGGGAGCAGATGACATTCTCTGGGATATTTGTGAAGTCTCTTCGCAATATTAAGGATGATATGACGTCTTATGCTGCTCCTTGCGGTGTTTTGATAGCAGTTTTATTGCAGCATCCGTCGACAATATAGAACCAGCTTAGCCTGTTGGCCCCATAAATACTGTTTTAGGTCTATAATGATAGTTTACTATTCCTTTTGCAGCCATTCAAGTTAGTTCGAATGAACGCAACAAAATTTTAGCCCCTTAGTTCGGGAACTTGTTCTTTCTGTTCTCAATGTGCAAACACAATCAAAGGGAAAAGATGACCGCATTCGAAAATTAGTTATGGTATGAAAAGTTATACAGATATCTAACAGCAAATCCCTGATCTAACAGCAAATCTAATCCCTGCTCGGTCAACTTCTAGGAGAATTCTGTGTTAGAATAAGAGCTTAGGTAATCTTTTATGCAATTCCCGTGGCAAAATGAGAATGTCCTCATTCGCACCATTGAGGTAGAAATGAAAAAAAAACTAACATACCCTTTCACATGCATATGGATTCAGCAAAAATGTGAGATATTGAAACAGGTATCTTCCATATAATTCTAGTGTATGAATACCAAGAACGTTCATCCTCAATATAGTTTGAGTGTCTAAGCTTGACGTAGCTTGTCTTTCACATAATTCAAGTGTAACGATACTTAAATCGATCATCCTCAATATAATTCCACAGGAATAAAAGCAAGTCAATAGTTTGTTCAGACGAGAGGTGCTCGGCGTCGCATTAGCTCTCAAGGCGTAAGATAGGCAGGCCTACGTCGAGAGCTTTACTCGAGTCAACACACACTGCGCAAAGGAAGCACTTGAGAGCGTCCGACTCCATCTTGTTGAAGAGGTCCTTCTAAAACACTCTCGTGTTTATTCAAGCCATTGATCTCTCTATTGCCTAGCAAACCTGTCTGATATTTCTTACCGCTCGCCTCCCCGAAAAATGGAGAATGAATAGGCACGCAGGATGTGATATGCCGGGAGAGGCGAAAGCCTCTGTGGTCAAAATGTTACAAACAGCGGGATTCAATTTACTTCCTTAAACTTGATTTCCGGCTGAAGAATATCGAATTCGAACTATTGGACGCGATTTGTCATACACTGATACACTGGAACTTATTTGACTGTATCACAGATCAACGATAGGATTCCTGCCAGAACTTCCTCACAAGCGAAACAAATGTATTAATTTCAGTTAATAACTGGCCACTACTGCATATGAATAATTTCACAATTTTAAAACTAATAGGCATTATGCAGCAATATTATCTTCACCAGCTATGCAGCATCTAGTTCTATGCTCTGGTTCCAGTCTCTCTTTATAATACCGTCATAAAACACGCATTGCATCACGCAAAATTATTACACATCGTCATCACACACATATTGCATCATATCATATATGGTGTTTTCGGCGCGCTAGAAGTGCCGTCGCCGATAGCGCGGTTCTTTCAGTGGGGCCTGTCGCCGATTACTTTTTGTGACTTTTTTTCGTGAAAAGCACTCGCTGTACTTTTTGCGACTTGTTCACAGGAGATCTAAAAACTGACACGTTGACCGGATCATTTATTTAATTTAAAATTAAATTCCGTCATAACAAACCTTATTCATCATACTACGTTTTCCCCGGCTTGTCAGTTCGTCAGTTCGATTCGTCGCTCCTTCCTGTTTGTTTTCCATCCTACGCAAGTGTTGCACCAATAATAGAAGTAAATGTCCCACGACTTATTATTTATAGACGATTGATCTTTGTTGAGACCAACAAACACAATCAGGCGCTACTGCAGTGGCGCTATTTGTGTTTGGAATATCTTATTTTGAAAAAAAATCCGGCTTTTGAACCAAGATTTCGCCTGGAACGACTGGCATGCGATATGAAGCCCGCCAACGAACACGCGTAGAATTTGGAGTGCCGGAGCATCGATCGTTTGCGGACAACTTGAGCAAGCCTGAGGAGAGGAGGAACTGCTTTTGGAACTTCATTCCGCTTGCGTATCTTTCCTTCATGAGAACATTAATTAGCGTATTACAGTATGGTGTGTTAAATTCGATGCTGAAGAAAAGGCCAGGTTTGGCCTATCGTTGAAATTGTTAAATTGTTCAAATTGATGTTGGAACTTGCTTGTCTTTGGTCGGTATATACATTTTTACTCAGGTGATTCGTCTTAACGAACGAGCCTGTAACGCGACGCGTTTTTCCATCAAAAGAAATTGAAATCAGCCAATTGCTTATATATTTTTCTTGTGTACATCATGCTCTATATCATATGTTGTATTCTATAAAAACCAGACGCCGATTTTCTCCTGTCACCCTTAATGGTCTGCAGTTCTATCAACGAACATTTATAAAATAATAAAGTTTTCTATTTGAGCACGAAGCTATCATCAGCCCAGTTGTAAATTCAGAATGTTCTCTCTTTACAACGATCTTCATACGTGAAGTTGTTGACTCCAAATTCCAAAATAAGTATATGAGAAAATTTTAGAATACGAACGCACAATCAGAGCGATATCAACAATACAGCACCAACCACGAGCCTCGTGAAGAGCTACCAAAGAATCAACTTCGGGTGTTAACGTTCTACTAGCTTGGTGCACTTGGTGGTATACAGATTGTCTGCTAGAACCAAGCTCTCGATGCCTGCTGTAAAAAGCTTAACTCCACAGTTTTTAATTATTTTTATTGTTATATGTTCAGAAGCACATAGTTGCACGCATTGAGTTATTTCTACATGAACGAAGGCAGCATAGTTAATTCTCGATTAACTCGTTGTTTTACTAACGCGATTTCTCTCGTTGTCAGTAAAACTTGGTATCAAAGTAGCATCCATTTCATCATCCCATGTGTTCAAAACGATTGCATCAAATCGTACTAGAAATTATTTTGTAAATATACTGACAGAACTTTTTTCTGAACTTTAAAACTGTATCCTGAACAGGACTCATGCTCATCTTACCTAGAATGCTCATAATGCACGCTGACTTATATTTTGATATTATACACTGTTATAATATAATAATATTCTCATATTATTCATTGATACAAAGTCATAGAATATATTTTTAGTCAGTGTCAATGAGGCGACTGAGTCTATGGTCAGGGATACTCAAAATTTATACATCATACAGGATACTCTTTATAATACATAGGTCAGGGATACTTTTATAGTACAGTTTATACTCCAAAATTGAAGAAAAAGATCCACTACTGAAGGCGGTGCACATACGGCAGCAAAAGATCTTGACAAAAGCAGGTTTGAAGGGTTTCATGCAGGTAGGATGACTGCCTAGTGGACTGCCCAAAGTCAACCTTGTACGGCTGACTGAAAGGCAGTTAGTGATGTTGCTGCCACGCCGTCGGCACTCAGGTTGCTCCATATTCTGATGGCCTAAGGAAAGATGGAGAGTAGGTGGACATTAGTTCTGCCGCGTGGGACTTGCAGTTTCTGTCGATGTCGGTTTGTTGTGCGTGTGGCTGGTTGGTACAGTCCTGATGAAGGCTGGAAATCAAGTAGGCGACGCAGCATTAATTCCAGCATGCATGTCTTGTCCGCCGTTCTCCTCATATGGAGCTGGTCCAACTCGAGTCCTGGCCACCATCTTTGTGGCACTGGATGTGGGGCTAAAATCACCTAGGGGCCGAGAATGAATTGAACGAATCTAGCAACGCTTGGCGTGATCAAGCGTGCGGCAAAAGTTGCCATTAAAATTCCTCTTCGAATTATCATATAATATTATAAAATTTAGAGAAAGGCTCTCCGCGCTCAGGATCGTTGTTTACCATCTCTCAATTACTTAAAAAAAATCGTGTTGCTAGTCAGATTGAGTGGCAAAATTGAAGCAATGAGTGGCGATTTCGAACCACAGCAAGCTATGAAACATTTTATTGTCTCTCGAATCGGCTATGAGTCAGGCGTGGCCTAATCTTCATCGCCGATCGTAATAAACTATACAAAGATCAGAGGGCGATTTACCCGTGGCTGTTTAATGGCCAGCAGCGGCCGCAGTCAACAATATGTTTGGCCAGCATTGACCCAAGCTCGTATGTCAACAACCAGAGATAAATATCCCATTCACCTCCAACACGCAGTCACCTCCGAGTATTTATACCGCCTCTTTTTAGTGCATTTTCTCATTTATGGAAAAAAGGCGCTATTGTGCTCGTCATGTCCGTCTGTCTATCCGTGACTTCACGTTTACGTCGACGAGAAAATTCGCGCTCTGTCACTCACTGCAGTGAGCACAGAGTAATTTTTTTCAAATAATAGGCCATGTGCTTCTGTCTGGCAAAGGAGTCAAAACTAACTGCGTATATTCGAGGCGATTAAGGTCACCTTAAGGATCTAAAAAGAAGACGAACTTCAATTCAATCGCTTTGTGTGTGAACATATTCCACTGTTGCACTGTGATAAGTAATAGTGATTCAGTTAGCTGTAGTTCCTACTAATCGAGCACAAACAAACTACATTTGTAAAAAAAAACAGGCATCCAAGCGAAATTCTAATTTTTCAACTTGGAGCATGGTAATTGGCATTATTTAAATTTGGTTACAGCTTTACTTTTCAAAAAAACTGATATGTCAATTGATCGACTCGCAATTGATGGTAGTAATGTTTTTAATCAGTATTTCAACATTTTAATTATTTAAAAGCTGTCTGTTGCCAACGGCAAATGATTCAATTTTAGCGCAGGATTTAGGTATCATCACTCTATTCCATCAAGTGTAAAGATCTAAAAACAAAAAACAGGCTTTCGTTCAACCAATTTAATTCAAATGTAACTTCGTTTAAACAGGTAAAACAAAACTAGTTGAAAAAACTTTTCATTAGAAAACAAGGATTGTTTCAATCCAACAGCACCCAAACAACCACCATAACATTAAGACTTTCATAATACAAGTCCGCAAACAGTATTACTAGAACACAAACGTGGACAGCAATGAAATTCCTGTGAACGACTCGCATTTATCAGCTTCCAGACGACGGATTAAATCTGACGACGAAAGAAAACAATAAAAATTTGATTACCGTACTCATGCCTGACATGACAGGTAAGGAGCACGAAGAATGCTATCTTCGTAACTATTCATCCCTACAATTGAGACCCGACGCCTTATATCACGAGCTTGGCGGTATGCAAACAGAAACTACATTAATTAATGCTCGGAAGCGCTTCTGATAGGAACACACTCGTCTGATGACTGTACAATGTTTCTGCGCAGTTCACCTATAAAGCTATAATGATAGTTTTGCCAGAGTAAATAACAGAAAAAATATTAACTGTTATAGATTCAACTGTGTGGATTAAACTATATCAAAGTACATCCAATCGAGATATCAAGATTTGCAATCGAGAGTCAATGCTCTTCAACTGACCACCCTGGGGTTGTCGCGGACTTTGGAATTCAAAAACCCAAATTATATTAGGTGCTGAATACCGTCATGCCATTATTCAAATCAATTTCTTTCGCAACGCACATACCCTCCATTCTCTGCCTACAACATCGTCCACACAACACATTAAACGCGGGCGATGAGCGCTGTTCGAGAAATGGCAAAAATAACAATCCAATATCGAGAAAAATATTATAAATCATTCAAGAAACTTGCATGGAAAAGAAGAGCTGAAAGCTCGATCTAAGAAGAAACAATAACGCAAATTCGTAATACTCTAAACGACCTGGAAAAGTATAAATAAGTGGAAGGATACTTACGGGCGACCCAGCAAGAAGGTTGAATAAGAAAGTGAATATAATGCAACAAAATTGTTGTAGCTCACAAATCTGATAGAATTTCTCCGAAATCATAGGGTAACTCACCTAGATTCTTACAAACAATTAGTCAAACTAGAAGGAGGAACAACTCGGAGCAATTTCACACTAACCGTAAACTGACATGAAAGAAACAAGATTTGAATATTACGACCAATCGTGAGAAATCAAACCAAATGTGAACAAGTTCTTTATATTAAAATAGAAAAAATAATTGCAGCCTAATCACTTTTTATACTAATTCTGAAAATCCTAACATGGTAAACAGAAAAAGTATTAATCAAGTGTAACTACGTTAAAAATTCGAAAATAATAGCTTTGAATGAAGCAACTGTTGGAATGTAGAATAAGAATTAAAAATCAAACGAGCCGAAACAAAAATGAATTTTTTAATTTCAAACAAAAACGCCAAAAAAACCAAACATCTGTTGAGAACTGCAGACAACAGCCACATGTTTATGTATTACTGCTCATGATTGACATTATCATGAATTGCAACATTACTATGCTCAACACTGGTATTGAGCACACTGCGGTCCAATACAAATCACACCATAATTTTTATAATACATATGTTGCATAATGATGGTAAATTGGTATTGGAGCGTTGTGATACATAAATAACATATCGTACAAGTTTAAATGGAGTTAAGTTATGTCAAAACCGCACCCTTAAAATGAAATAAAAATTCAAACGAGTTCAGTTTGCAACTGACGACTTCGACAGACAACTTTGCAGGACTGCCAATGGATTAAAAGTTCCCAACATCAAAATTTGCAAATCGAATACCGGTAGTTGAAAACAGGCCATCTACTCAGACCAACATGGCACCCTCAAAAAGCTAGTATTCTCCTCAAATGATTAAGTGCTCCTCAAATGACGTAATATGACGCAAAGAAGCTCATAGTAGAAATCTCCCAAGTTATTCCTGACAGTGGAATGGCTACAGAAAACTTGATAACATTCATAACAGGCATTTAATGGATAATATAGGTTTTGTAATGATGAATGAATAATGCTCGACTTGGAGTTTTATATAAAAATAGTTAATACTGAAGTAAAAATAAGTGACAGAAGCAAAAACCCATGCCAAAAAAGCCTCCAGATATAGAAGTCGAGCGAAGGATTCGACATTGTCTTTCTGAAGTTAACCTTGATAATCTGACAACTGCCTTATTGAAGCAAGTTACCAGCCCTAATCAATAGATGAGACAGAAACTCTAGTGTTGCTACCAGAAAATTTCGAATTATTTCTTCTTTTTCTTGGCCTGTTTGGTCCAGGACTCAGGAGGAGGAGAGTTGAGCAGAACCAGGACCAGAATGACGAAGATTGTGCCAGCCACGCCACCGAGGAACTGATAAGGGTTCTCGCGCAGCCAGTCTGCTATTGCTTGCGTGACATCATCGCTGAAATTTCAAGTTTAGGTAAGTTCAAAGCAATCACTTGAGAGTGAAAATATTAGTATTGAGATAATTTTCATAAAATCGTTCATTGCATTAAGCTCCGTGCCAGCAAAGGCTCCAAATGATAATAGTTAAAAACAAACTGACCCATATAACTTGCGCATAAAGAAAAATGCATAGAATCAAACGTTCCAGCAATCAAAGTTTCTAATTCACAACTTCCAAAGCAATATCCTGAATTTCTCCCAGCAGCAAAATATATCAGTAACGACATAGTGTGGGCAACCTACAATGGGGATTTTGGCATGGGGATTTCCTCAGCCCTGGCATTTCTGAAGCCTTCCTCAGCGAAGGCTGTGAGAGCCGAGGCCGTGATGGGCACCAGAGGGAAGCGGTACATGCGGCCAAGCCGGAAACTGTGGACAATTTTTAATTAATTATCATATTTCTATGTAGCCTAGATCCAAAATACAAAATCAGCAATTTAGTAAGCATTTTTGAACTAAATTATATTGTTTTAAGAAATAAAATAGATAATAATTAAAGCAAAACTGCAGGCATGGTACATAAATGAAAAGAAAAAAGTGGTAGACATGTCCTATGCAAGCATAAATAAAGTGTATATAATAGCATTAATATGCTCAACAAATCAAGAGAAATCATCGACATCACTCCAATAAACTGACAGAATAACGCCAGGGAAGTCAGTGACTTCGAATCGCCGCGTTGTGACGGCCGCCTCAGCCTCTCTCAGGACCACGGCTACATTCTTCCTGCCTCTCAAGTTAGCAGCGGCCGCCTCGACGTGGGACACGATGCGCTCACAGGCCTGGCCACAGCCTTCCCTGGTGAACACCACCAGCCAGTCTCCTGTAGTCGCGCCAGTGCTTGCCTGTGTCTCGTGCTGGCCCATAAATAAATACACATAAGCAGGGTGCAGCGGCACTCGGCAGCCAGATGCATGGAAACATTAATAGTTCCATCGTAGCAATCAGTTCCGGCCGAATGGCAAAAGAGATGATGGCATACAAATTTATAATACAATACAAATTACAATGTGCTGTTGTTCATAAATTGCTCTTCTAAAATCACCCCCTAAAGGACATTGGCGGACATCACTTCATTGTTCATTTGAACATTGCTGTCATAAGTAGTGTCATTTGAACATTGCTGTCACTAATTGTTCATTTGAACATTGCTGTCATAGAAACGACATTTTACTGACCTCAAACGTTGCATCATTAAGCGACTTGACATTAGATTCTTTGTTTGCGAGAAGATAATTTAGCAATTCTTCGTCATCACTGAAGGAACTGGAAACAATCATTGGCTTGGTATTCCTAATAAATATAATGGTTTCAGTATCACGGGATCCACCCCAATGAATTTGAGTGTCGGGAGCATGGCACCGTACAACCCATGCTCCTAGAGCTTCTACTATCTCTTCCCGTACTCGCAGCAGCTGCTTCTCCAACGTGTCGCAGCCAGCTGTGCATTTTTCTCCTGAAAAATGAAGCTCAATGAACAATTGTATACTAGTATTGAAGCATAAGGTTTAGTTTATTAATTATATATCCGTATTTTAAAATATTCTGTACACAAATTCAGTTCAGATATACTGTAATTACTTATGTCAAAACCCAGTAGGATATTAGGCCTATGATCGTAGCGTAGGTAGTATGCAAGTGAAAGTATCAGGTCAGCTCACCTCTAGAAAACAAAACAAGTACATATTTTTCATCCAATACAAGCTGTTGAAGTTCAGCTTCAGACACTACCTCCAAATTTAACTGGTCAGGATCAGAAGTGCAAACTTGCGACAGCAAGATGGCAAATGTAACAAATATTTGGACCAACATGCCGCAAGCTCGATCAACTCGTCTGACGTTACACATCAACACTACTTCCACTTTTACCCTAAATAGGGTAAACTTTTTTGATGACATAAAAATGTGACTTAATTTTATTTCCGAAAAATCTCGACATTTTTCTAATATTCTTCATTATGCATAAAACTGTTTCTATTTGTCAAAACTAAGCGAATTTTTTCCGTATATGCTGACTATCAAAACTGAAAATTTGCGGCCGCTTTGTGAATTCTTTATGTCCACCCTTAATTATATATCCACCTATCAAGTCACCTTGAAGTTTAAATATGGAACAATATTAATATCAAGTCAAAATAAATAGAATTTTCTCTATATATACGTAATAATTGAATAATATAGGGGCAAAACAATTCACTCGATCGACAATTCTACGGACTCGCCAGCGAACTCGCCTGCGGACTCGCGCAACTGGGCCACTCATAATTCCTTAAATACTTAACGGTTCTGTATGAATTTTGGAATATGAGTATTAATTATCGATACGCTGCCGCAGGAATTATTACAGATTTTTACAGTAATTATTTTTTAATTAAAACCAATAAACGTATTTTTAAGCAACTGGGCCACTCATAATTCCTTCAATACTTACCGGATCTGCATGAATTTTGGAATGTGAGTATTAATTATCGATACTCTGCCGCAGGAATTTTTATAGATTTTTACATGGATTATTTTTTTATTAAAACCAATAAACGTATTTTTTAAGCAACTGGGCCACTCATAATTCCTTCAATACTTATCGTATCTGAGTGAATTTGGAATGTGAGTATTAATTATCGATACGCTGCCGCAGGAATTATTACAGATTTTTACATGACTTGTTATTAGGTTAGGTTAGGTTAAGTTGGCATAGGTTAGGTTGGGTTAGGTTAGGTTAAGTTAGGCTAGGAAATAATGCATGCAAAAATCTGCGCGAGTCCCAGTTGCGCGAGTCCGCAGGCGAGTCCGCAGGCGGGTCCGTAGAATTGTCGATTGAGTAAACAATTTTATGAATTCATAAAACTTGATATCGCGTGGGTCAGAGGGCTATGTGAATTTTATTAGATAAACAGCCTAACAGGTACACTAAACTGTTCATCCCGGGTGAGTTATTTCTCATTATTTCATTCCTCAATAAGGAAAAAACAAGAATTTTCCCCTAAGTAGGGGTTATTTTCTGACAACCTCATGTAGTTAGGGTAAATATTGATCTCGAATGGAGACTTCACGACAAAGTTCCTTTTCCAAGTTGTATATGTATTAGTATTTAATTAGATTGAGTATGAGAATTTTGCCTCTATCAATATTATCTACATATTTGTCAAGTTGTTCATATAGCTAAGGTGTATAAAATAAAAGTATTCAGAAGTTATTTTTTAATGCTTAATTGCTTATTGCTTCATTTCTTTGCTATTCCAAATTTCTTCCCTTGCATGTAGAATATTTTTATAACAATGCTTTACAAAGTATGAAAGTAACAAACTAATATTGAAGGCTGATCGTTTCTAGCTTCTACATTATATTAAGATGGCGAAAAATATCCTTTCGGCAACAGTTTGATAGATCATTTTATTATTAATTTCTAAGTGGAAACCAATGGGAATGGACAAATTCAATTTCTGAATTTCATGCTTCATTACTTGGCTCCTCAACAGGCTCAACTCGTAGTGACAAACTAGAGATTTTTAAAAATCAATTCATTTTTAAGTTCCTAGTTTACCTAAGACTAAAAATGTCACATGTATGTTTCTAGATTGGAATTTTTATACCTATGAATAAAATCTAAGGGTAAACACACCATATTCCAACACTTTAAGGATGTAGCAAGAAATGAATGGTTATAAGAAGATCACCGTATGCGCAACTCTAGTTCTGATTGCTTTACGTCACTCTCAAAACACCACACTATGCCATACCCAGGAATCCAGGATGGTGCCGTTTTCCGCGGATTAATCCGGCGGAAACGAGACTCCAAGCCCTTCTACTGGCGTACAACGCGGCGTACAAAGAGCTAAAATAACGTTATGGCGCACACGCCCCGCGTACGTCTGCATCTGGCTTGTCTCGACCTCGACGTACGTCTGCATCTGGGCGATCTGGCTTGTCCTGACGTACCGTACGTCCGCATCTGGCTTGCCTTGGTGTACGTTTGCATCTGGGTGATCTGGCTTGTCCTGACGTACCGTACGTCCAGGCCACTTTGATCGCAGAGAGCGCGCTTCTGTGTTGATCATTGGGCATCGGCTAAACCGATCGTAAATCGCGCGCGCTTGTGTTGATCATTGGGCATGGGCTAAACCGATCGTAAATCGCGCGCGCTTGTGTTGATCATTAGGCATCTTCCACTTTGATCGCAAAGAGCGTGCATCAGCATTGATCATTGGGTATCGGCTAAACCGATCGTAAATCGCGCGCGCTTGTGTCGATCATTAGGCATCTTCCTTTTTGATCGTAAAGAGTGCGCAATTCAGTATTGATCATTGGGCATCGGCTATATAGATCGTAAAGCACGTGTGTTTGTGACGATCGCCAGGCATCAATTGTAAAGTACGTGTGCCTGTGTTGATCATGCAGCATTGGCGAGGGTTACACTTCCGTTTTTAGCAAGCATATTGGCAACTTTCTTTCCTGGCGTACTGGCGTACATCCGAAAACGAACCTCCGGCGTACACGCTGCACCTTCCTGACTATGGACACTATGCACCAGCAATGATTAAACATCGCAAACTGTTGCCATATTTATTTAAAAGCCTTTAGAATTTAAATCTACAAAATTGCTGAATTCTGACGCTGTGTGTGATTGTGACAGTACGACTAAATTCGGCAATGAGCATATTGTGAGACTAGGGTAAATGCGGTATGGTATGAGAATAAACACTGACACTTGAAATAAAACTTCATTTAAGGTTTATAATTCTGTCAAAGGTTGACAGTCATAACCTTGAAGGGATCTGTCTGATCTAGTAAATCAATTAGTTAAAACCTGAGGCCTGAGGGGTTTGGGCTCGTTTATCATTGTCTGAATAACATATTAAGTATTCATTGGCCAGGGAAGGATAATGACAAGACGTGTATCTAAGCGTAAGTATTAAAGATAGGTTCACAGGATACACTAGATAGAAGTTACAGGATCAAAGCACAGTATGTGCAGTAATTTTGGAGATAGAGTATAATGACACTGCGTGTTGGTTGAGTGCCAGAGCCTAGAGTTAACTGCATGACTGCAGCTGAAGCCCGTCTGCCTAAGACTGAGACATGCTACGACTGACTGGCACTACGCTCTCCGAGCTTATATATGCGGTGACCCGCGAATAGTGATGTCACAGAAGGTGATGTAATAGTTGCTACTCGCTGATGACATTACGGCCTGACTCATCCCCCCCTTCACTGTAGATATGTGCTTGCTGCATTAATATAAAGCAAAGCTAATATGTGGGTTAACACATCAGTGTCATGTGTACAAGATTCTTAACAATGATCGGAATTGTTAATTACAATGAGACTGAACATTAAACATCAGTGCTTAGATTAGGCATTAATGAATTTGGCATTAATTTCAAACCTAATTTTTAAGAAAAAGGCTCAGTTACTAGAATTTACATATGTCAACAGACATCATAGTAGTAACTTAATATTACATAGAAGTTCAATGCCAGTTTTCTGGCTTTATACGCTCAAAAATAAAGTTTGTCACTCGGCAAGAAGAAAATACATTTTCATTGATTTCTATTTTTAGAGAACCATGTAATAGCCTATTCTTAGGTTTACTCTGAGGTTTAGGTCAATTACTTTTTATTCTATGATGCCTGGTGCATATTTCTATATATGACATTCTATGCACAATTTTGTGATGACCGATGATGCACTAATTTTTCGATAAGTGAAATTTTTTTTAGCTGAGCGAGGTAAATGTAATCAATAATCTTGTTTTTAATCAATTTTTTTCTTAACTGGAGCCTTTGCTAACTGAGGTTCTACTGTAAATGCATTTTTGGGGGTGTTCTGAATAGCCCCGGGAGAGTGTCCTGAGTAGCCCCGGCCCCTGCCATGCAGAAATGGCTGCCATTTTTTTTTTGATTGAGGTATGTAAATTCTGCAAATAAAGTTTTCATGCTGACACTTGTCTGCCACTTTTTTCTAAGTGAAATTTTTTAATATGGCAAATATTTTTTTTACTACAGACCTTAGCAGAAGTAACTTTTCAAAATATAATTTTTCACCATTTTTTAGAAATTTTACAAAGCTAGTACATGTAGTATTTTTGAACTTCATTTATACTACATAGATAGGTAGGAAATATGTTGACGTTTATGTCAGTATATTTAGTTTTGCTACTAAAACAGTTTTACGCTGTGTCAGACTGTCCCGAGTTACCCCGCCCGTCCCGAGTAGCCCCAGTTGATGGTGTATTCACAGACTTGTTAAAAAGTCTCAAACCATTATATTGTTTCTACACAAACAGTTTATCACTATTTGGAAGAGCAAGGTCAACTATCAACTTTGACGCGTTTTTTGAGGTTCTCACTGAGTGATGTGGACTTTTGCTCTGAGGATCTTAACATTTTCCTACCAGACCTAGTGTTTTGCAGAAATCTGGTGCACAATAGTATGACGTCAGTCACGTCACTATTTCAACCATCTACGCATGCGTGGAACTAGACAAAGCTTAATATAAAGGAAAAAGTTAAGAAGTATTGGAATTACCCATGATATCGTAATATGGTGTGTTTACCATATGGCTGTAAAGTTAATAAATTTTGATAAATTTGTAATATTGGGGCCTGAGTGTGCAGTTTTATTAGTAATTAGAAATGAGATAAATTATTAAATGGGAATCTTACAGCTACAAAAAATAGCACAATGGCTGTTGTAGTTGCTTGAACAATAGATATTCCATGCCACGATGCCAGCCCTGGGCCTGAGCAGGATTGGAATTTTTCTACTTGTTTCTGAAATCTTGCAGCTCCAACATGACAAATTTTTAATACATTTGGAATCACGCTGCTTGATTGCGCACTTTTTTTATAATTAGATAGGAGATAATTCATCTGGCGGAAATCTTGCGGTTCCGTGAACTGGGGTAACTTAGACCACTTTTTTTTTAATGATGCCATTTTTTTACTAGATAAGTTAAACTTAAATTGAAACATGTAAAATACAGGTCTATACTCTAGCTTCACTCACCATAAATTGCTAGCTCCTGCCTCTCATAGTTTGATGTAATTTAAAAAAAATCGATGGTCTTTTTTACCCCAGCTCTGGGGGTATCTTAGACTGTGTGGTAAAATCAATTATATTTTTTGGTAAAATAACTCCAAATAACTCCGGGTTTTGGTGCATTGTAGTAGAACTCTTCTAGTTACATATGCAAATGACAAATTTGAGGAAAGTTTCATAGTTTGCAAATGGGGGGTCCCGCCCCCCAGGTGGTCTAAGTTCCCCCAAACGGGAGAACTCTGACCACCGAATGGCAGCCCTGACAGGGTTAACATAGACCGGCTTGGAAATTAAGTTAAATTACCATATATAAGACTCTGTAGAGTGTGAAACCTAAAGAAAAAACATTAATAGGTGTATCAAACATGAAATGTTATATATGGTAATTTTAAATTAATTTCCAAGCCGGTCTATGTTACCCCGTCAGGGCTGACATTAGGTGGTCTAAGTTCGCCCATTGGGGGATGGCGCCCCCCATTTGCAAACTATGAGACATTCCTAAAATTTGTTTATTGCGTATGTAACTAGAAGAGTTGTACTACAATGCATCAAAACCTGGAGTTATTTTGCCAAAAAATAAAAAAATTGGAGAGGGTACTCCGACAGGCTTTAAATAATAGCTTTTTTTCATGGGTCACATTTCTAATTTTTTAACTTATTAGATATGCAAACTTTTTAAGTCTTTCTATTGTGTTACGTAGCCTCAGTATTAGGCCTTTAAGAGTCTGGGGTAGCGGTCGCGGAACTCAGCATCGAGCCCGGGCCGCAGCCGCTTGTAAAATCCGCTGCTCGAGTTTCTGCCTCAGTCCAAAGTTGGCCATTCGTTGTCTGACTGCGCATTCTCCTCCACTCTTCACGCATACCGTCCACACTATCTCCATTTGTACTGATAAAAACTTCTTATTCATTTTGCGTCCATTATTGTGTAGAACTTGTAAAAATAAAACTTGCAATTACCGAACGATTTACTGCGAAGATTTACTACGAACGATTTACTGCGAATGCTCGAGCATAAATACCATAATTTCGTGTCAGCACGTCGAGGCATACATTTTCATTACTTTTTAAAATCTCTCGAGTTCCTCAGTTACCGCAAAATTTCTCATCTTCACTGCAGACAGCGGCTTATTCTTCACTAGTACATAAACCGTTTGCTGCCGATGGGAGAAACTCAGTGCACTGCGAACAGTATCCACTGAACAACGGGGGACTGAATGATTGAGGGAGTTGGAGGAAAAGGATGAATGTAGTGAGGAATTGGTGAATGAATTAATTGTTTAAATAATTGGGTCATGTATCGAGTGGGCGTAACATATACGGGACAGAGCTGGATGGTTTGTCAACTAGTGTATTATTCAACGCCCCAAAGCTAGGTAAAAAAATTTGAAGACAGACTTATTGTACACTTTTAATTTTACAACAGCTTTTATTTTACATTACAGTCTCATTGTCTTTCCTGAAACCTTTGTTATATGTCATTCCTAGTAATGATGTAGTCTGTTCATTAATATTATATATATTTTTTTTATGTTTGGAATACTTCGTCACTGTTCAAAAACAATGAACAGTCTGGGAACTGGTGAAGAAATAAAAGGCTAGAATAAGCGAACGCCTCCTCTTCCCTCCACGCGCATACTGATCCCCTCCCCTACCCGCTACAATTATAAACAAACAACGTTCAGTGGTTTCAGCCTCACAGCTGATGTGGGGGTTTGGGTGAAGGTACCCTCAAACCCTCAAATAGGTTCACACAATCATACCATGTCAACAGGTTAACAAACACGGATAAATCCAGTGCAAATATTGTCTCATCCCTGTAATAATAAATGCGATATATTCAGCCAATTTCAGCCAAGGGGGTAAATAAAACAGGAGTATTGAGGAATTTATCCCTTCTTTCAACCCCCTGGGGGCTCACCTCAACTCCCTCCTCGCCTCCACATTCATCAGTTGCCTTTTGTTTTCTTCGTCTCTCAGTCGGTGATCGTCGCCCCAACACAGGTTGCAAGAGATGCTCATGCTCTCAAGTATGGCTCTTTTGTGTACTGTACACAATACAAGTGGCATCGTCTTACCACATTGTCGCGCTGTGCTGTAAAAATTCTGCCAAGAGCTGTGCAAAAACAACCTCCAAATATTGCTTTATTACTGTTATAGGCTACTTCTGTCAATTTTAAAAATTTTTACAGGAATTAAATGGTATGCAAGTAAAGCAAATTAGGAAAGAAGAGTGCATGTTTACCTCGAAGGGAAGATTTATTGCCTGCGCCTGCAGGAATGTGTATCAACCAAAGGTCTGGTCGTGCTTTAATCTACGGAAGTTTCACCTACCTTTGGGCTTCTAAAGCATATATCTAATATTAGAATAATAATTCAGAAATGTTTGGGGTAGCGATCAGTGAAGAATAAATAGTTAAACCGCCGTATATAGAGAAAATGCTAGAAAAGTCACACGCTATAGGAACATCCGGGTGCATAATTTTATCCTCCCTGATAACAGTCGAAATAAAAAGTTTACATAATTTATCTTAATGACAGCGCATTGAAAATAATTAGCCAGGACAGCATTCCAAATTTCAGACTTGTATCTTATTTATGAGGGGAGTTCTTGCAGTTATAAATAGTTATAAAAGTCCGTAAGCGACTATCGCGGCTGAGCGTGTCCACAGGGCTCTTAATGCTCATTGACAGAATTTTTCTATGTCAAATAGTTTTTGAGTTTTGGGGGTTTTTGTTAAAAAAACTAAAAGTGGTCTAAGTTACCCCGGGAGTCTTAAGTTACCCCAGTTTACGGTTCCAGAAATTGCGGGAAAGCTCTAGTTTCGTCCCTAGTGGTAAAAGTTTTCCATGCTTGGGCCTGAGCAAATGCAGACTGCTGTCAGTGTCAGTTTACCTGTTTGACTGTTCTTATAAACCATTCCTAATCTCTTCTATATCAGGTCATGAAAAGTTCTATTTTTTTCTCAAATATCATGGCCTTAACATCATATAATTTCAGTAGGTAGGAGATCTTGTGGCTCTACTGTCTTGTATTTTTGTTTGATTGAAAAAATCAGTTTGCACTTTGTAAACATGTCATTTCATAAAATTTTCAATTTCTACCAAATTTTCAATTACTCTACCATTCCTGCCAATTATACTGCAGAACGTAATTATTGTAATGATAACAAGTCAACCTAAATGTTTTGTTGAAGATCGCACATAGTTGTGTCCTAGTCCACTTCTCTGAGTGGCTTGGTTATTGTATATCTTTGATAATTAATATAGTTTCAACCTGAAGGTTTGGGTTCTATTATTGTCTTGGCTATAGCAGGAGTGAAAGGCTGATCAATACAGAACAGTTTACTTGCTAATGGATAATACAATAGGCACTATAAAGATACAATCTAAGAGAGGGATAGATAGGGCCTGCTCGATAGAGAAGCTTATCGAGGGTCGAAGCGTAGGACTAAGGTGTGGACGCTTGGAGGTCTCTCCTACAACTGACTCGTCGGTAGCTTGAAGAGCTCTATCGGTCCACCCGCGTACTATCACAAGCTATGTATGACAAGACGTACGACATTTAAAGTGTCACTGAGGGTGACGTATGATAGATAATTAGTCACTGAAGGTGACTGTCAGGTAATACCTGACAGTTGCGGTCAGAGTGGTCAGACTGCATTACCACATTTTCAGCTTACAGTAAAGACAAATGTTATTGTTGGCATACAACTGTTTTAGGGTAAATATGGAGATTAGGGGAAACACCTGCATGGACTTTGTAAATAAAATTGTGGCTCATAAATGGCTTTTCATGGCCAAGATAAGGAATTCATGGCTTAAAGAAATGGAATCACAGCTAGCAAATCCATAAAGCCATGGCTCGAAAAATTCAGTTGAGGTTCGCCAAGTAGATATATTCCATGCCTAGTCTGTATAAAATATAAAACATACAAGTGCCTGCTCCCTGCAATTTTTTTAAATCATTCATAAAACTATATTTTCTAGCTGCAATTTTTGGAAAATTCTACTGAATATTCAATAATGACTATTATGCATAGTGAGGTAATTGTGTTGCAAATATTCAGTTCTTGGGTCCAAGGTATTGTCAGTAATATTGAAGATTTTTTACAAAACTTTCAAGATTCCTTGCCAAAAATATATGTAAATGGGTAACTAACAAGAATTGTGTTGGCAAGGTCTTCTGAAGGCATAGATTTTAATGCTGATGTACTGCCAAAGATCTTTAAATACTCACTCTTTACACTCTGGATTAGATCAGTAGAATTTCCTGCAACTGAGTGGCACAAAAACTATTTTGAAATTCTGAATCTGTCACTAATGAGAAAAGTGTAGAAAATATTTCATTTCCAAGTTGTGTGTATATTTTTAGAGCCATGACTTTATGGAATTTGTGACTGTGAGTTCTGATTTCATGCTGTGAACATATTTACTACAGCATTAAATTTAATGCTGGAACCATACGTATTCAAAAACATGTGTGTGTGCATGGCTGCAAGGTGCTAGGATACTATTGCACAGCCACCACTGTTGTTGCAGTAAATGGCTGCAGAAATAAGTATATATTGTCTAATATGCTACCGAATGTGCATTGTCATGTGGCAAGAGGATATGATTACAGCATTGCACAGCGGCAGCTACTGACAGCAGCAGGCATTGAATGTATGCATGGTTACTGTTACACTACATGTATTGCCTTGTGGTGAGACTCTTACCATATATATATACATCATTTGCATGTCACTGCACAGCCCATGTTCATGTTGGAACTATTTTTCATAAATAACTCATTTTTCTCATCATATTTTAGCTTCCTGTGCATGTTGGTTGTGCTGTCATTTAATACTGCCTAACAACCTGTATCAACAGTCAAAATATATGTTCCCAATTTAATATATACTAAATAACTGATATAATAAGGCAACAATTATTTTTTGGTGCTTTTATTAAGGCAATAATTAATTTTTTGTAATGAATTACTTTCTTTTGTTGCAGATAATCTCTTTGAGTGTTAATAAAAGAGTCAAAAGCCAAGGTGCTGCTGTAAAAGCAGTTGTGAGTAATAAAACCTATGTTGGGGTCTATTGAACAAAAGCTTGTAGTTGCTTCTAGATCATTCTCTGTGAACTTGCAGGATGCCAATGGCTTGGACTGGTCTCAAGATAACCGGCTGGCACTTGTAACTCCATCATCAGTGATAGTCTACGTAAGTAAATGGACAATATTGCTTTAAAACAGCATCTTAATTTTTTATGTTCACAAGAATGCATTCAATCTTGCTCATTATTGTGAGGAAACTTTGCAGACTTCTAATACTATATATTTAGGTATCTAATGCAAATGAGCTTATGAACCAAGTCCAGTGATCTCAATAACATAGTCAGGCAGAATTATATCTATCTCAGCTCCTATGTCTCATCATAGTGTCCATCTTGCTAGTAGTTCAATGTGTCTCTTAATATTGTATGAAATATCCCTTCAAACTGAGCTGAAAAAGTTAAGAAATACATCTGTTCCGAAAGAACTGTATTTAAATTCAAGTTATCCTCCAATGTTCTTGGTTTTAGTCACTGAGTGAAAATTAATCGATATAAATGGATCCTACCTCTGAGGTAGTCAGAGCTATTATGCATGCATATGAATGTAAGACAAAGCAATGATAGAAATTTATACACAGTGAGAGATCACTGAATATATAAGAACTGTACTAGTTGGGATGACTGCAATTGATTTCTACTATTCCAACTTGATTTGTATTTCTTGCTTTCAATTTTAAGTGTTGAAGCAATATGACCCTAGACTTGTGAAATTATCTCCTATAATACAATAATCCCTATGAGGGTTTCAATTTGCTTTGAATTTTCTTCATCCAATATTTTGGCTAATAACTTTATTGGTGTTTTCAGGGGTGATGCAAAATAGAGAAGAGTTGGAATAGCAGACCATCACTTGCCTACTCCTGCAATTATGTTGCGTGTGTGTGACCCGTCTCAATTTTATGGCTTGAGACGTCCCCAACTCTGCATCCTTCTGCTCAGCACTCTCATCTCCAGTGTTTTGAGTGATAACATCACAACAGAAGTATTTGGCACATACAATGAATTTAAGCCTGCTGCCTTTGGTGACTTCAACTCAGACAAGCATACAGACTTTTTTGTTATTGAGAACAGCCTGAATAAACAGGAATGTAATGTAAAAGTATTGCTGTCTTTTCTAAATCCACCTTTGCTGAGACCAGAGGGACCTAACTGCACATGTCCTGGCTCAAACGTCAAGTCAGTGGTGCCCGGAGATTATGATGGTGATGGTGCTATGGATATAATGATGCTCAGCTTGAGTAAAAATGGAAAATATGATGTCTACATTGCCTATGGGGATACTAAGAACCTCACATGTCCTACTGAAAAAGTTCTCACTGTTACTGGTCAGCCTTTACTGATGGACTACAATGGGGACATGATTGCCGATCTGTTTGGTGCGGATGAAAATGGTACTCGAACATTTTGGCTCTTTACGAGCTCCAGAGGTGCACCTCTTCGTGTGCCTATGCTGCCATCTCCTGAAAAGACTTCGCCACCTCTAAGAATTCCAAGCTCTCATGCTTTTGTGGACCTTAATGGTGATCTTGCAGCCGATTTGTTTGTCACAACCAATGAAACGTTTGAGATTTGGGAGAACACACTCACAGGTTTTAAGCTCAAGGAAATAATCCCTGTGCCTGTTTGGGCAAAAGTTGTTGGTCAGACAACCTTCATGGATGTGTCTCTTAATGGAATTGTGGAGCCACTCACTGTAATGTGTAGAAATACTGACTGCAGTGATGGACAAATCTACATCTGGAGTTATGCCAACAAGACTGAGACTAAGAAAAAATTCCTGCCCATAGAACTTAACCTTTCTGATGGACCTGATAACCCTCCTTGGCACTTCCCATGTAATGGCGACCCGCCCTACCCTTACACGGATGTCATCAACCTCCGCATCGCTGACATTGATTTAGACGGCTATCCTGACTTGCTGCTCACCTTGCTGGACTCCAAGAGCCATCCCCGGGTTTGTAGAGGGTGTAGGTGTTGAATTTTTTCTGAAATAAATATTTTGTATCTTATAACTTTCTTCTTAATTCTGAATCATATTGAAACTTGAAAATTTTACTCACTACTGCATTGTTATTATGCCCTGCTTTGTGGTTATTGTATTGTTGAAGCTCTGCTCTGTTTACAGGTGGTCATTGCCTCGAACCGCGCATGTGACGACACCTCCTGCAGCTCCCACAACCGCAAGTTTGTGCCACTGTGGGACCGCCTGACGTCCTACCCTGGCAGTGTACTGGGGACCTTCTTTGACGTCTACGAGGATGGCCGCATGGACATACTCCTGCTGCACCAGAAGCCTGACCATCCCAATGAATACGTCATGGCTGCTGTCAAAGACACGCAGGAGTATGACGCCATGTTTCTAAAGGTATATGGCTTCTTTCATATTATATGCAATGGTGATTATAGTAAATTTAAATTGCTTAATTGTTATTGGTTATTTTTAGCAGTCCGTTTCCCTTGTGCTGTTGTGGGAGCATAGTAAAATGTTTAAAATGTTTAAAAATTACTTTTTAAAGACAACACTTCTAAAGAATACAGTGTCTCCTATGTTACACATCTACAATGAATTTCTAATTTTATTTCCATATATTATTAAAAATTAATTTTTATTTTTTATATTAATACCCGGTATATCAAAAAAATTAAATTTTTAAAATTATTTATTCTGTCAATTGATTCATGCCTTGTCTTCAACTTTGCACGAGTGTGCAAAATTTTAGATTGATTGGACAGGTAGAAGTGTGTTGAATATTGATTATAAGATTTGTAGAAGAAAAAATAGGTAACTTTTTCAATTTTTCACATTAAAAAAAAAAATTTCAAAATTATATATTCTGTTAATTGGTTCATGCTTTGTCTTCAACTTTACGCAAGTGTGCAAAATTTTATATCAATTGGACAGGCAGAAGTGTGTTAAATATTGATTATAAGTTTTGTAGCAGACAGACAAACAAACAGACAAGAAGTGAAGTTAAAGAGAAGTGTTGTAAGAAGTTGATGATTCAACTCTGATTGTTCACATTTTCTACTATCCATTAGCCTAGGTCAATTGTAAGGCTTAATTTCTCCTAAGTGCGAGCCTTCCCGTGTTAGTCTTTGTCTGCATATTAGATCCTACACATTGAACAACCACCTGACATTGTTATGCATTTCAGGTGCTGGTGCCCAGCGGCGTCTGCTACAGTGAGTGTGTCAACCAAGTCGTCCCTTACGGCACCAATCCCGCCGGCCCTTCTTTCCGCTACGCCATCACCACAGCCGACGACTCCCTACAGGAGGCTGCCGCCACTCAGCTTAGCCAGTCTGCACACATGGCGCTGCAGCTCCCGTACACGCTGTTTGGTCTTGGCCGTAACTGGAATTTCGTAGAAGTGCTACAGGTTGGCATTGCTCTCAAAGAGGGATCTCCTCGCAAGTACACTTTCTACTCTAACCAATCGAGTATAAGTGGTGCTCGTGATCTAGATGAACGTGATGTCAAGTCGAGGGCGCTGTGGCTAACTGAGGATTGGCAAAAGTTGGAATTTCCTTCTGCCCGCAACTTCACACAAATTATTCCCAACTCGCAAGTGATCGTGATCCCGTATCCCCTAGACCGGCCTGACCGATGGGTAAACAAATTATACATGACGCCCAGCAAGGCACTGACTCTGACTGCTGCTGCCTTGGTGTCTGTCTGCCTCCTTGTAGCGCTCGTCATTGCAATCCTTCACTACAGAGAAAAGCAGGAAGACCGTCGCGAGAAACTCCAACAAGCCCAAGAATTCCATTTTGATGCCATGTAATTTGGAGTTACGTTCACCCTCAGCCATTTTTGTTAATCATTGAATTAACAATTAAATTTTTAGTTTCATTTATGAGCTTTTTGAAAGATTTTGTTCATCTTGGAAACCATGGACTATTTGGTGGTGCATTTTATTGTTTCAGATATAAAAAATAACATCTTAATGGCTATAACGTTATAGTTAAAATTTCACCAATTTCCCGAGTCTTTGCTCTCCTCCACGCCTTCAAGTTGAGTACCGTAAGAAAAATCCAAATTTCGGACTAAAAGACGCATAGACATTCTAAAGCAAAGATTCTTAGTATCTTAGATATTCTCTGCCGTGTGATCGTGACCCGTTCAACTGTTACTCTTGTGGAAGTTAAATTGATAACTTGTGCACAGCGGCAGTTTCTTTCTATGTAAATACCTATTTCACATGTGTACACATTCTAAAATGTGGTGTAGATTATTAAATGTTCTAGCAACGCTGCATTCATTTATTATTCTTCACTTCATACCTATTGAAGCTGTTATAGCTTTATACTCATACAAAAGTGTCAAGTTGCAGCGGGAATCTGTGAAATTCATCCATTCTGTGGATAAGTTGAGTCAACTAGTGCCTGCAACAGAGTGGCGTGTACTTACTAATGCGAGAACATTTTAAAAAGATAATGTATATATATTTAATGGTACCCACCTATTGTAACTTCTCTTCGGGCGGAAATGTGTTCACACTCATAATTATGATCTGATCAATCTTTGTTGCGCTTCATCATACATGGATTTGAAAATGAAATTGCTTTTGAAAGTGTTTAAAGATCAATGTTTGCACGAGACTGTCTTAAGAAAATTTTTTATTGGATTGTAAAGTTCAGAAGTGATGATTATTGAAGATAATTTTAGCTGTTAGTTCAGTGGTGGCGGATTGGCCTCAAATTCTGCTGGCACGTTTGTGGACAATCTTTAATTCTTCTTTCTAGTCGACTAATTTAAGCTATCTAATTAATATTTTTCTACAACGTATGTTGTCTATGATAAAGGACCCTCATTTTCTATAGTTTTATTTACTTATTTTGTCGAAATACCGATCGAGATGATTATGATCCATCCCGCAATGAGTGAAATTTACTTTTTTACGGTGAACTTTTTGATATGTTTATATGCCTGTATGTGCGATTTATGACCGTAGAAGTCATTGATTTACATTTTCGAGTTCGAACAATTCTTCAAATGACGTTGGTATATCAAAATGCAAGTTTAAGGAATCAATTGTATTTTATAAACATTTTGAATGCAACAACATTACGGTACTTTGAATTTACAGAAGGTATTGAATAATGTAATTTTGATGGAAATAAGTAGTACATGATACACGTAAATGGGAATTTGTACATAAAATACAGGTACATGAAATTAGTTCATGATACACGTACATGGGAAATTTTGAACCAGAAAATAACTTTTGACCCAATCTCAAAGTACAGAAAATCTGGGCGTTATAAGATAGTTAATTATATCAACCAACGTTATTTGAGGAGTTGTTCGAGCCTGAAAATTTTAATCAATGGATTCTCTGGTCATCAATTGCACGTGTTTAAACAAGCTAATTCTGCCATCGAATACTAATTTATATATAAATATAAATAACCTATTTGCAATTTTTCAGCAAATACGAATCCTTTCAGTTACTATAAACATATCCAAACTTATGTAATTCACGTCGATTTCTGATCAATCCCTTAGGACATGTGAAATTTGTATTATGATTTTATTCGGAGTTACGAAAGACATCGAATTTCATTAGCTATTATTTTTTTGTGGCCTCCCATATATTTTATATAGTTCCTCAAATCTGTCTTATATGTTTGTGTTGCCTATATTGATATTATGTATAAGCTGTTTGCACGTCGCTTGTAATGAAAGAGAAAGCTGTTACTTTTCTCTTTACACCGCGTTTTCTAACTCCGAATTAGCACCAATATCTACATTGTTATTTAGACCTTCATCCGTGTTTCACAGCCAACAATCTAAACATGATAGCTCGTTAATGCTTATCAATGCTAGGAAAAGTCTTGTATCTTGTATTAGTACATCAAGTGTTATCAACATTGAGTTTTAATATCCTTTTTTTTTCTTGTTGAGCTTCTTATAGAGGTTTCTTCTAGGTTGTAGTTTGTTAGATGACATGTGTTTGACTGTGTATCTAAGCTTATTTTTTTGTCTTATGGGTCTAAAGAAGTCAGTACGCCTGGTTATGTAATTATATTTAAAATTAAGGTTTTCTATTTATTTATTTTTCAATTTCGTGCGTAATTGGTATGCAGACTATTTGGAGCAAGAAAAAAATCGGCATTCGACTTCACACTGAAACCATTCTTTTGCTATTGCTTTTTATATTAGGCATCATTTTCATTTCTTTTGACATTTTGTACATCTTCGATTGACCACTTCCTGAATGTGTGCAAAAATGCCTTTATCTTTTTACTTCATTTCGCTAACTGGCACGCGTTCCTACTTTTAACTTTCATCTTGTGCTCATAGTCATATGCTAACGTCATATCATAATGTCTAATGATAACGTCTATTCTATGTCTTGCCATTCATCACTTATGTATCTAATGTCTATTCTATGTCTTGCCATTCATCACTAATGTATCTAATGTCTATTCTATGTCATGCCATTCATCACTTATGTATCTAATGTCTATTCTATGCCTTGTCATTCATCACTTATGTATCTAATGTCTATTCTATGTCTTGCCATTCATCACTTATAAAAATCTAGAAAAAACCAAGCTCGAAAAAACCCAGATATACCAAAAGAAACCTAGCCATGTATCCTTCTTGTACGTACAGGACGTTGAGACGAACTTCAGTGATGCCACCAGCCGATGCTTGCCGCTGCCACAAATCAACCTCGCCTCACCTCATCAGCCAAACCCACACTACAGCTCTGGTCAGTCTTGTTGTTATTGTCACCTATTGTTCTACAAGCTTGATTATATCTAGCATATATGTTCCTTATAAAATTATTAAGAAATTATCATAATCCTCGCGTCATCCAATCAGCCTAACCCGCACTACAGTTCTGGTCAATCCTGCTTATATTATAGTAACTCATTGTTCTACAAACTTGATTATTTCTAGCATTTATGTTCCTTATAAAATCATAAGGAAATTATCATAATAGTTGTCACCGGTACGTAACTGAATACCGGTACATATTAATTGAAATCAAGTTATTTAAATTTTTCGAATAATAATTTCGTCATCGCGATTTCCATCAACCAACTTAATTACTTATTGTTACGGCAGAGGAAATTTATTTAAATCTGACTTTTATAAAGAAGTTAACAGCTTTTACGCCACTCTCACTTCGTGCGCCGGCACTCGAGATTATGAGACTTATGATGATGCCATTTTTGTATACAAAAGCTCCCCACTGATACCGACTGTGAGATAGAATTTCCTTCAATTGAAATGAAATGAAGTCATTTAACTGGGGCTCTTTGAGTAATCTTTATGTGATCAACGTTATTTTCATCCCATACTTAAAAGGGGGTACACGTTTTTGTAAATGATGGACCCAATATAATGAATTCATATTTATTTATGTATCGATTCAAATGAATAATAAATAGTACCAACTGAAAGTGAAAGATTCAATTTTTTACATATTCATAAATGTTCAATATGGCCCTGTTGTGCTCCGCGACAAACATCTAATCGGTAGAGATTATATGACCCTAAAGATTACATGTCTATAAGCTGATTACGTTGACGTCTTTGTTCACTCCGCGGCAAAGATCTAATCGGTACAGATTATATGACCCAGAAATTATATATAATCGGATTATATTGACGTCTTTGTTCATCAGGTTTGGAAACAGCGTCATTCTCAAGCGAGCCCCGACTTTCTGAAGCCGTGCGCCAGAAACTCTTGCCTCTTGTTCTGTCCGCGCCGCTGTCGGCGGCCTCGCGCTCGCTGTTGTCCTCACAAAACCTCCCGCCAGGATTTGATATCGTCTACACCGGCTTCAGGCACGCCATCTGGTCCCCCCTGGGAGCTGGGGGACTGCAAAGGTGCGATGTGAATATATTACTGAAGCATGTTAGTGCTGCAAGTTTCCTAAAATAATTATAAACAAATAAGCACTATTACTCCAAGTTTTCTACGAAATAAATAAGTAAATGAGCGCTATTTAATATTTTTTACTCGCATTACAATTTTTATTGCATTCTGTTTTACTAAGAATCTAATTCATCTAATTCAATAATTAAAAGACGTAGTTTACAGTTGATAATGTTGGTGCGTTCCTTAGGTTACGATTCGTGTTTACAACGAAAACTTGACTATACATACGAACCATTGCAGATGTGTGCTCGCCATGACAACAGCTGATCATCGGCTCCTGCTAGTCTGTGGTAAAGGAAGAAGTCTTCGGCCATCATTGTCCCTTGGCCGACGATGGGCCAACTATCTTGAGGCTCATAACTGGCCGCTCTCATGCACTTCTTCTAAGAAATGTGAACCAGAATCTTCATCTAATGAGCGGATAAGCCAAAGAAATGTTGTTCATTCCAACAAGGATGTGTGCTTGGATCCCCCTGTACACCAGCCGGCCAACAGGAATTCAAACTCTGGTCAACATACTGGACTCGAGTCTACCAATGACCAGTCTTCACAAGCAAGAGATGATGTTTCTATTCCTGCTGGGCAAGTACAGACACCACAAGGAAACAAGCGTGTCAAAAACAATGATGTAAGTGCGACCACGACGCCTGTCAGCAGCCGCAAGATGAAAACTGGAATTAAACGCGAGTTTGTTGACTACAGAGAAGCTCAGCAGATCAGAGAAATAGAAGTTCATGTGGACCGTCTCTCGCAGCTGGCTATTAAAAGTTCGTTGCTAATATATAATCGTAATCTTTATGTTTTGTTACTTGTTAAAAATTTTTTGTTGGGGATTTTTAATCTTTATGTTTTGTTACTTGTTAAAAATTTTTTGTTGGGGATTTTTTCTATTTTTCGGCTGGCTATCCTAAGTTTGATATAAATGTGTGTAATTTTAATCTGCTTAACATATAACAGCAAATTTTGTAGCAGACGCTTTTTCGATTGCTTTTTGTTATCTGATAGAATTCCTCAAACTCTTTCTTTATTCATTTCCTTCTTTAGACCAACTTACACCAGCCAAGCATTCTCTGTAAAAAAACGTTTTCTTAACGTTCGAAAAAACAAGATTGCAGTTCATGCAAACACCAGCTTGCGTCAAACGGAGTTCGCAAGCTGTTAACTAACAGCAGAAGCACTGGGAGCAGTAGAAATGCTTATAGGTTTCAGCGTTTGTTGCGCCTGCTGTGTGAATGACATATTAGGGAATAATTTAGGTTGGTTGTTATTATTAATTATTGTTACAATTATGGTATTCATTCATTCTGACGCGTATTTGTTGTACTATTTATTTTATTATTTGTAAAACGCTTACATATAAACTTTATGGTGTGCTCAAAAGTTGGTGGTTGAATTTTTTTATTACTCATGAAACTAATTTACCAATTGTTTAGAGTTATAATGTTTTAATTTAGCTGCGCATATCGCTACTCAGTTAATAGATTGCGTGCTTAGTCTGAGCTGAAAAACTATGCATTTATTCCAACTTATCATCAATGGAAGCAATATTGTAATAAACTCTCTCCTGCAGCTATACATTGGTGCCCCACGGTGATGGAGTGCCCCGAGACCGGAGTGTGGACCAGCGAGCTGTTGCACGTGACGCTGTCGGGGCACGCTGTGCTGTGGCGCATCACGGCGGCGTCTCATCACACGCCTCAGGCCGCACCCAGCGACCTTGACGACGACAGACGCGCCCGTCGCTGCAGCAAGAAAAGTCCTAGGAAGCAAGAGCAAGAAGACGATACCTCGAATTATTTAGGTATGTGTTTGATGCTGCAACCGAGACTGTAGAGATTACGTGTAATACAGAAACATTTAGACCTTCCTTCAAATTGTGCATTTCGGCTGGTGTTTCAATATTTTTGTATGTGGGTTTATATCGGTGTTCGATGCTGCGACCAAGATTGTAGAAACTGATCAGATTTTTTACTGAAATCTCGAAATTGTGCATTTTGCTTCGTTTGAAATTTTACCATACTTGTTATTTGATACGTTAATTACCTTTTACCCGCAACTAGAATTATGTTTTCTTCATTTTAGATGCACAAGTGATTGGGACCTTTGACCTAAAGTGTCCTGGAGCTTCGTGTGTCAAGTGGATTAATCTGCCAGACCAAGCAGGTGGGTTGTTCACTTTTTAATTGGCTATCAGAGCATAACCAACTTGTTCTGCTTATACGACAACCTCCTGATTAGTCTGACCGTGGAACATATGGCAAATTCTCGATTTTGACACCCTCCCCTGTAACACTTATATATTGTTTCCCGACCTCGTTTGTCAATCTTTTTACTCCTCGATGTACTAAGTAATAATGTGCATTAGTAAGCAACTCTTCTCATTGGTATCTTCAGTTCTATCAATTGAATTTATCAGTTTGGAATGGGAAACTCAACAATAATTGTTACTAAATTTTTATGAATTTTTGCCCACTTCATTTCCTCTAATGTATGTTGCTTAGTGTTGCCCCATGGCTCATTGATTACAATGATTTATTTCTCCATACGTGTTGCAGAATTTCTCTTTGTCGGGGACTGTCAGGGACCCTTGAAAGTATTCCGCATCGAACGAGACTCCAATGGAAATATAGACATTTTTTTGTTGAGAGAGATTTTCGGGAGAGACAAGTAAGCTTTGCCACATTCTGGTTATTGAGATAGTATTCATATTGTAATATTCAAAATTATTTTCTGCTTTTCTATTTAATTTTACTATGTACCGGTACTGATTTTCTGCTTGAAATGATTGATCGATTTCATCCCATTAATGAATTTATCACGAGCCACTGCTAACCACCTCAGCTCTCGACACTCCTCAATGGCTTGGTGTCTTGGCCGGCTTTTGAATTGAGAATCAGATTTTCACTCTAAAATTTGAGCATTTTTCCTGAATTACTGGCAAATAAGATCGCTTTTAGTCCTGTTGTTATATCTAACACTTCTTTACAGGTTAACAGTAACAAATGTCGAGCTTGTCGATGTCATTACTTCTGGATGTGATCCTGATTCGGAGAGGATGGTTGGTGAACTCGAAATTGCAAAGCAAAATAAGACAATTTCTCCATCAAAAGTCCCCTGCAAGGAAAACCGCGCGCCTGATGACGTCGGGAGAGATGATGGAGTATTGACGAGCGCAGTCTCCCCTCCTGCGAGCAACCAAGAGACTTGTGACGGGAGCTCGATAGACAGGGAGCGGACTTCGCTAGACAGAGACGCAATTACGCTAGACAGGGAGCGGACTTCGCTAGACAGAGACGCAGTTACGCTAGACAGGGAGCGGACTTCGCTGGACAGGGACGATGTTACCCTAGATAGAGAGCGGACAACGCAGAGCAGAGACGATAGTTCGCCAGTTGAGGACAGGAGTTCATTGGACATGCAGAGCACCCAAATTTTGCTGGCGGTGTCACGGAACATGGTTCTGAGCGTCGTCCTAGTGCAGCTCTACAGGCACCACTGCAAGGTGTTGGCCACTGCACAAGCTCATGTGGCAAGGATGAACATCACAAGTGAGTTACATGCGTGGCCTTTATATGCTCAAGTGGACAAGATAAAAGGAATAGAAGGATAGTACGATGATATTAATAGATGCTTTAATTCAAGATAAGTGACTGAATATAAGTAATAAATATAAATAAATAAATATTATGCTATGTTTAAATTATACTACTCGTTTCTACGAGATATTCGAAAATATATCTTCCTAGAATTGTAAAATGTCAAGAGAGCAGAATACTTACCTGGCTGAATTTTCAGGAACTAGGTAGGTAACCTACAAAAATTCATTGAGAAGCCTGCCTAGAAATTATTTCATCACATCATCTTAAAATTTGGGAATAATTTTAGGGCTACACCTACATACTCGTAAGTCGTAAATTCTTAAATATGCAGGGGTCAGAACTGGTAAAGTTCCAGAATTTCTCGGATACAAGACACGCAGTTGTAAAAACGTCTTCCTAGCACAGTTGAGAACTAGGTTATAAACTATAGAAGTGTCATAGAGTAAAATATCTTGAAAGACAGGATCATGCAGCCTAAATAATTCAAGATTACGTGAAAAATCCAAGTTTCTAAGTCTATTTTAAAAATGATATCAAATAGTGCGCCTGGAGTTTGCGGGAGAAGAAGTAGCCCGAATTTAAAATCGGATGTTCCTAAAATATAGATAAAATCCTTGAAATACTCAGTTGAAGATTTGCATTTCTTAGTATTCAACGCTAGCTCTTTGTTTCAAACTTTATCCCATCTATTTTTCTCTTGATATTACCAATTTTTTAATTTGGATTCCATTTTAAAGTGGGCGGCTAAGTTTTTGAAGAATTATAAAAATATAAGGTAGACTAGAGTGAGAATTCGTGTTTAGGTTAAAGTAGTGCCAGAAAGACTGGCAAGCGTTTTACTTTTCTGGTGGACTTTGGAACAATGATGTGTCCTCCGACCGAATGAGTCTGTATTTGGAATATTTATTCAAGGATGTTTAAATCTATAGGCAACGTTTCTCATAGGTAGTTTTATGATCTCTATCAAGCTATAAATATTGTTTGCTGACAGGTATGTGTCTGTATTTGGAATATCTATTTAAGGGTGTTCAAATGTATAGGTAACGTTTCAATAACGTAGTTATATGATCTGAATCAAGCTATAAATATTATTTGCTGGCAGGTATGTGTCTATTTGGAATTTTTATTCTGGGGTGTGTAAATGTATAGGCAACGTTTCAATTACGTAGTTATGTGATCTCTATTCAACCTATAAAGATTTTTTGCTCACAGGTATTCGCTGTCCCGACCCGGGGCACGTTTATTGCAGTACAATGGATGGTCGGGTGCTGGAGATGTCGATCCTGCATCAGCAATCATGCAGTGAAAGTACGACCTTATTGAACGACCTGTCTCACCAGAGAAACTCTTCGAAGAGGAAACGAAAATCCAGTCAGTCAACTGATGTGGCTGAACCAGAACCTGATTCGCCCGCTCACAACGTGATACCAGCCAACATAATTCCTTCTAAAGCGCTGTATGATGACGGATCTAAAGAAACTGTGATGATAGCGAGAGCTGTAAAGCTCCATGATCGTGTTGAATACTCAGAAGTTATCTCAGTACGCGATCGAAGCGGTGCAGAATCTCGGCTAACGTGCGACTGTACAAAGTATCACGAGTCAAACTCATCCTTGTCTTTGAGGCGTAAGGTTCTGAAAGATTTCACAAGTGATGGAGCTTCCATTCTCGCCATGGTGACATCGCCCAATTCGGTCTTTTATGCGACTGTTGAATCGTGAGTTAATGTTTGCTCTGTTTGTGGAGGAATATGTACAGGCAATTTTTAGAGTAGTTTGAAAGTTGATCGTTCGGTTATCTATGTTGACAGCCTCAGCTTCCCTTGTACATACTAGACTGGCTGTATAATTGAAGATTAGAGGCCCGCTTGCTTGGAAGTCGATAGCACATAAGGCTTCGTATTATTAAAACATTGCATCGAAATTGATGAGAACATTGACATTTGAAATGTCTTTTAATTTTATCTTGATGGCATTGTTCAATAGCTTAACTCACTTGTTTTGTGTATGGGGTCTTCGTTATCTTAACAAAGCCTTACATCTAGGGTCATAAGATAAGATTTTTATTGTTGCAGTTATCAAAAAGTAGTAACATTCGCAACTTTTCCGTAATATGCGGGTGAAAAAAAGAATGGGTTTTTATAAAATGTAATTAATGTATCGTATTAAATATATAATATAAATATAATATAAAGATAATACGAGTATAATATAAATGCGTGTATATTGTTGCTTGTCAGGTTACGAGTGCCGTACGACCACCTCGTGATGAGAGAGTGTAGCCACCTGATCATCAGTCTAGTGTGTAGCAGTGACACCCTGCAGCAGCACTGCTGCCTGCCGGCACTGCGCCTGCCGCTGCACATGCAGCACGACGTGCTCGCCGCAGCAAGGTGACTGCAATTTGCCCTGCATCTTATGCATTTAGATGACAATGATGAAACAGTTTTGAATTCACTCTTAATTCTTTTCAGATATTCTTTTTCTTTTGGAAAATATTAGTAAATTTAACCTGATTTCTCAATATTTCTGGTATTTACTTCAAAACGTACGATCACAGAGTGAACTTTATATAATACAAATGAAAGAAAGTGAAGTTGATGTAGTGTATAATTTGCATGCATTGATTTGTAGTGATCCATTAGTTATTATCTAGTTGATGGATCACCACCGTGTATTGTATGAATGGAAATAATGATCCATTTCTTATCGACCCCTCATAATGTGCCCAGGATCCTGGCGTTGGAAGGCATTGTTCTTGACGTATCATCGCTACTAAAGTTCATACCTGGCGGGGCACCGAGCGATGATGTCAAGACGCCGCCCTGCGACGTACAGGAGGGAGGCGCCCTGCGTGGCCGACAGCTGCTGCTGTGGCTGGCAAAGCTCTACGCTAAACTCAACGTCAAATTCAACATACAGCATCCTGTCATCCAGTCCTGGGTGCGAGTGAACATAATGTATCAATTACCTAATACATAAGTGAGCCTTAATATCTATTTAAAATACCTGCACATAATATATCACTGATCTCTAAGACATAAGTGAGCCTTAATATCTATTTAAAAAACCTGCAACCTTATTTAAACTCATCACGATTCATTTCCTCAGGTCTGTATTGAAAAGTCAGCGCAAGAAGCCGTACAGATGCCGTGGCTGGAGCAATTAAAATACATGCAGCCTTATTTAAACTCATAACGAATAATTTCGTCAGGTCTGCATGAAAAGTCGGCGCAAGAGGCCGTACGGATGCCGTGGCTGTAGCAATTAAAATACTCGCAACCTTATTTAAACTCATAACGAATAATTTCCTCAGGTCTGTATTGAAAAGTCAGCGCAAGAAGCCGTACAGATGCCGTGGCTGGAGCAGGTGGTGGAAGTGTACCACAGTAACCCCGCCTGGCATCAGGATGACGTGGACGTGCTGGTGAAGACGTCACTGTCACTTATGTGTGACACCATCATCAGCAAAGGGCCCAGCGAGGTTTCCAATAGAGCTATGGTAACTCACTGATCTCTGTTGTCACTATAATTCAATAGCTTCATTCTCTATGCACAATACCGTTAGTGTGTATTAGCTTTCGTGAAATTAATTGCTCATATTCAATTTGATAGATTATCGAAGCCATTTATCACAGGTCATGATGTTAATACCCATGAGAAAATTTCTAGAGATAATCTCGACTGAAATCTGCAGCTCCCGTATTATTGTTATTGATGGTCATGAAGGCTATAAAGATGGCTAGCTTTCTGTGACCTACCGATCGCCAGGATGATATTGAAGATACCCTGAAAAACCAAAACTGCCACACATCGTAGATGTCATCACATGAGCTGTAATGGCTGTTGATGAAATCTCAACTGTTATTAATTCCACAAAATAAATGAGCTGCCACTGAGGTTGGACGGAGGCGTTCAGATGCATTAAAGTCGTTGATGCCATTACTCCTGTGTGTTGCTGGAGCTAGTGCTAAGGCTGGATGGAAGCCTTCAGTTGCTATAAGGTCTCAGATGCCATCACTCTTGTGTTTTACAGGAGCTGCTGCTGAAGCTGGACGGTGGCTTGCGTCTTCAATGCGCCGTCGGGCGATGTCAGCTGCAGGTGCCCCTGGAAGGGCTGGAGGTGGCCCGCTGTGCCGACGGTATTTTTATAATTTTGTATTTGCATATAATCATACAGTTGCATTCATGTTTGTTGGGTTAGGGAAACTTTTCGAAGTCACTACCTAATTATTGCCAATGCCGCTTTGCCTTCAACTTCCTCAGTATCCCACAATTCATCTACATATAATTTGTGTGTAACGTTTTGGCGTCAGGGGTTTAGGATATTGTTAAAAAGTCAAAAAGCCAAAATTTAAAGAAATTTATTGGGCAAAATTTTAGTAAGTTCTTCCAATGAGCGTGTAAATTATTTGTTTGTTCCTTTCATAGCTGTTTTCTTATACATTTCGTTGAGCAACGCTTGCGATGAGACTGTATGCGGATTAATAATGCAGATCACGTGTTGCCGCGGTGCTGTGTGACGCTGCTGCCAGTGCTGCGGCCTGAGACGTGTCAGCTCTGCAACTCCGTGCTGCACAGGGAGCCTGCTGACAGTGAGTGTTACATTTGCTGACAGTGCGTGTTCCGTTTGCTGACAGTGCGTGTTGCGTTTGCTGACCGCGTGTTTTCCGTGTGTTGACAGCGAGTGTTAGATTTGCTGACTGTGTGTGTTGCGTTTGCTGACCGGTGTATGTTCCGCTTGTTGACAGCGAGTGTTACGTTTGCTGACAGAGTGACAGTGCGTTATACGTTTACTGACAGTGTGAGCTCAGCCTGCTGACAATGCGTTTTTGGCTCTACAGTTGCTGGGTTCATGAGATGCTTTACGTTATGACTTGTAATTTAAAATTGCTTTATTTCTGATCCGTGCGTAGAATTTGTGTTCATTATACAGTAATTCACCTGTGTATTCCAGTGTTGTGTGGGCGGGAAGCACTGTGTCCCTTGTGTGGAGGAATAATGGAGAGCACCACCGTCAGGCGTGCCTCCTCCACGGCTCGGGTGGCCGCCCAAGGCGCTGCGATGCTACCGAAGGTCCCCATAGTCGTGCTCAATACCCGCAGCAGGAAGGGCAAGACTGGATCGTCTGCAGACAAAATTTAAATTTTAGTGCTGATGGTGAATTTATAAAGGGCGACATTACTTCTAGCATTTCATTAAACTTTTCTCATCTGTTCCTTCCCATTCCAATGAAAAAATATAAAGTAGAATCCTGATGGCAAAGTAGGGCATACGTCGTACCAATAATAATTATCATGGGTTTTTCCCTGAAATCTGCCTGGCAACGCCGGGACGCTGGTCAAATATTTATTACTTAACATCCAGCTGGCATGTTCATCCTTGAAATACTTCAGAACCACGAAACCTTTATTTCTGTGGATCAAAACGGGAACCTCATTAAATGGCGTTATTGCTAGCTAAAGGCACCTAGCGTAAGGAGTTTGAATTTTTATTATAGGTTTTGAGTTCCGTCAATAATTTCGATCGATCGCTTCCCTAGATTCCGGTTGACGTGGCTAATACGATTCTTATAAGCGCCCTGAAATCTGGTCCATGTAGCCCTTGACTGGACAGGGATATTTTGGTGCCGCACAATAGAAACAAATGACGCACACAAAGCAAAATGATTAAATGAACAAACTCTTCTTATAATAATAGTAATTAACGGACAACCAGAAACGATACATGCAATGAGAAAGTCGATATGTTTCAGATAATAGCACCAGTATATTTATATTTTGATGTGGAGGTAGGTATGGGATACAAATTTTCAAGCATTTGTTCATGATCAGACATCAATAATATTTCCATTTTATCCCTAACTTTACATGTCCTACATGAGTCGGTAGAGATCACTGAAGGTGTTGTTGTAATTGCCAATCCTGGCAGTGGCGACTAGGGAGAGACAGTGATAGGTCAGTTTTTCTGGGCACACTGTACCACTGGTAGTTCTACGACCATCACTAGCTCGCCGACCCGCCAGAGATTTGCCTGCAGGCTTGCTGGAAATTACGTACAAGTCGGAATTGTTTGTGCCACGTTTTGTTGAAATTGAATTATGCAGTTCCGTTTTAAGCTGGCAGTGTAGCTCTGAGCATACTTTATTTCACATATCAATCTAAAATATTTTTCGGTAAATTATTGATTCTCTAAGTATTTCAGTCGGTAAAAGTTTTTTCCGAATTTTATGGCGCATATATTCATGTGATTTTCAACATTTTTTAAAAATTCCCATTTAATTGAGTTATACAAATCTGTTGAACGTTTATATTGAAATATCCAAATGATGAGGTTTAGGGTAATTTTAAAAGCGGTTGCAGATTTTCAATTACACATCATCAAGAAAACGTAAACAAAACTCTCCTCCAGAGTCTAACAATCCAATCGAGTTGAAACAAATAAAATCGACGCTATTCATTAGACAGTTATCTATCAATATTTTTGTACCTTTTGCGTCAACATATATTTTGTAAGTTCATTCAGTTATAAAAATAAATTTAAAGTTTGTTTAATCCTATATAATCTAACATAAATGAAATAAAAATGCCGGCCATGAAGAAATGGGCTCACTCACTGCCTTTGCCGATTCTTGTACAGGTGTTCTTTTTGTGATTTGTTGAGACTTTTACAGGAGATTTTAAGCTGGATTAAATTAATTACAGTTGAATTTTTGAACAGTCCTAGAAGCTGGTACCTAACTATATTATATATATATATTTAAATCTAATGTCTCCAAAGTCCGAAGTTACATAGGGTAAACGCGGTATATTCCGACCAGGCATGGAATATATCTACTTGGCGAGCCGCGACTGAATTTTTTGAGCCGTGGTTCTATGGATTATGAAATGACATGTTTGCAAAGTGCAAACCGCAATTTTTTAATCAAACAAAAATTTATGACATTCGAGCCGCGAGATTTCATACCTACTGAAATTATATGATATTAGAACCGCGATATTTCAGACAAAAATAGGACTTTTCCAGACTAGATTCCGACATCGTAGGTAATTCCGTCACGTGTCACCTCTCCAGCTTTTCCTTTATATTAAGCTTTGTTTTAGTTCTATGCATTTGTTGATGGTTGAAATGGTGACGTCATACATTTGCCTGTCAAAATATTGCCAAAACACTAGGTCTTGGCCATCTAGTGGGAAAATATTGAGATCCAAAGAGAGACAATGCATGCCACCTGGTGAGATCATCGAAAAATGTGTCAAATTTGACAGTTGACCTTGCTCTACCAAATAGTGAATAACTGTTTTTATAGGAAGAATATTATGGTTTGAGACTTTTGAATACGTCTGTGAATATATTAGGAATCCTTTAAGTATACTTGTATTCGCCGATTTCAAGTTAATTAATAGATGATTAAGTTGAGAAATGGATTTAGACACATGAAAACTAATTCCGACACAACTTGAATTGGATACACAGTCACACACAGATCGTTCCAAGCTTTGTACAAAAATTGAAATTTGCTTAATTAAAAGCCTAATAGCTGTTAATTAAAACGTGATTAAGTAGTGTTCAATATTCGTTAGTGTTCTAATTCAAAGCCATGACTGCCGTGTTGTATCCCAATACAGCTCACACAGCAAACGGAATTCAAACACGTGGATGTCGGCATTACGTATCCGTTAAATTTGAAGCGCTGACGCAATACGACTCACCATGGTGCCAATCCATAGGTTATTCAAAAGAACCTCGTTCTTATGTCATTTTGAACCGATCAACGCTTCTTTACGGACCGATCGTAAAACACACCTTCACCGGCAAAAGCTTTCACACTTCTGAAGAAAGGTGAGCTGACAGCTACACTGGCCGTGGGCGTGGGGCGTAGGTGGACCTAATTTGAATTTGAATGCATGCATCGATTTGAAATCCTATCGACTATAATAGACATAGTATACAAGTCATAGAGCCTAAGTTTTTAATATCTATAAAAAATGTATGTTTCTGCATGTATTATAATGCTCTTAACATTAGCAAACTTTGAATTATCTCTGATGCAAGAAATACTTGCTTAAATCATTTTATTTTCAATATAAGCTACTGGATGCAACAATCGGTTTGCAAGAACCAACATAGCCCTGACAGCAGTAATTTCGAATTTTCGATTGACGTTAATTTCTAAATTAAAATGTATTTAGCCAGTATTTCTTGCATCAGAAATACTGTCAAGTATTTCAATGCTAACAGCATCAAAATCCACACAGAAACGTTAAATTTTAATAGGTTTTACACTGAAATTTACGCTCCTATTCCAAAGAACTGAGACCAATTTCAAATCAAATTCGACTAAATTGAATCCATCGCGCTTTCTGGCATCTTCTCTCGCAGCTGATTGCATACGTCATTGATATCATTCTGGAACCAACGTAAGTAACTAAGGAATTTCCCAGTTCAAATATTTATTGATATATTTATATCAATTTCAAAACTTTACGTATTTCTAAAGGGAGTTGTGATGAGACCATGGGAGTCGAACCGTTGAGTTTAGACCATTGCAACTTGCAACAGGGGCCCAAGGGCCAAGGGCATGGGGCCTTGTGAAGGGTTAAGACCGCGGACCGCCGCACGGCGGTGGACCGACATATGTACCTCTCTTCATAGACTTCCACTATGCGACTCACCACTTGCCGAATATTGCCACACACAGTGTCGGAATAGAGGGATTTTGTAGGTTTGCATTCTAAAGGCTTTTAAATAAATATGGCAACATTTTGTGACGTTTCATTGTTGCTGGCGCGTAGTACGGTGTTTTGCGAGTCAAATAAAGCAAATAGAACTTGAGTAATGCATACGGTTATTTTTTTATAGTTTTTCATTTCTCGATGCGTCCTTAATGTGTCGGAATATACCGCGTTTACCCTACCTTCAATTTAATTGGAAGCTCATGTCATGAGACTGTTATTTAACAGGATTGGAATTTTCCTACTTTTTTCTGAAACTCGTGGCTCTGGCATCCGGCAGCATGAAAATTTTTTAATACATTTGGAAACTCAGCCCAATTGTGCGCTTTTGTTAACAGTTAGGGAGGAGGTAATTCATTTGGTGGGATTGTGGGAACCTCTCGGTTCTATAAATGGCAAGAAAGCTCAAGTTGCGGCCATAAAAGGAGAGGTTTTTCATGCTTGATGTTGATGAGACATGGGTCAGACTGGAATTCTAAAATTCGTGGTTCACATAAAAAAAAGCGTTCCGCCTTGAAAAAAACCTTCCGGGCATCTAGAAACAGGTTTGCAGGCCATCAGAAATTGGCTTTGGTTACGGTAGCTACGATCCTATGAACGTCAAGTCAGGCAACACAGAGAAGGTCCCATGCAAGATTGTTAATTGCGCGCGTCACTCACAGATGAGAAAGAGGGATGGATGATCATGGATCTACAGAAGGAAATACTATTTACTCCCAACATAATGATTTCAAATTAAACATAAAAAAACATTTATGGCACCTATTCATTACCTCAGCTTTCAAATTGAGGAGAAACTCATCGGATGATTGGCAGTTGAAGAAACTTCTCGAAGGCAATGCACAACAAACAACATGACACTTCACAGTTGACTGACTAGAATAGACTCAATAGTCAATAGTGCTCAAAAGTCAAAAATTTAGCATTCAAACCTTTAGATTCTGTGAACCTTGTGATTTCTTCATTATTAAAACTTAAGAAGGCTCACAATATATCACGTAAAGTTTTCACTCAATTGTCGTCTTGAAGTTCGGGAGCTTTATCTGCAGTAGGTAATGTTCTGTAGTTACCTCACCAGTCACCAACCGATCATGTGATGAAAACTAACCACTAACCATTAGATTCCTGCCACTGTTGCACACGATTGATTCTGCATGCGTGTATAATATTTACGAAAGTTATTAAACCATTCTGATTTCTGTTGAATGTCAGTTACTGATAAATTTTTAATATAGAAGAATTCGTATCTTTCATTTTTTCACATGACTATATTGATGTCGGTTTCACATTGGTTGCCGGTGCGGTTGGTATCCCTGCTACCTTCTTTGTTTACGTTTTTTTGTTCGGCTGATCGCAACGAAAGGAGATTGTATGTCTTAGCTGATTGCATCGGTGGTCAGTTTTATATTTGTGGATTGAATCATAGGCAGTTTTTCATGTATTTGTGAGTGAGTGTACATAGTGAAGATGTTATTCTTTGCAATTTCCATCAATAATGACATAACTACACTATTGTATTACGCTCTTGAAATAAGAATTGTAGCATTACGCCTTAAGTTAGCATCAGTGCGTTAACATTATGTGCATTTGAGGTGGTCCCTTCTAGCTTTCTATTGCTGATTGGATTCCAGTGGCTGTGACGTTGCACATGTTCTAGCGATGATTGGATCCCTGTGACAGTACGTTGGACGCATTCAAGCGTTGATTGGATTCTTGTGACTGTTACGTTGGACGCGTTCATGCGTTGATTGGATTGACGTTGATTGATTGGATTGACTGTGATGATGCAAGCGCTGTTTTTTTCAATGAAACAGCTGTGGTATCTTGCAGAGACTCATCAGTAATGATGATGGACTGAAAATGAAAGTGTGCTGGACGTTCCAGATTTTTGGACCTGCTTTCTGATTTGCTATGTTTACCAGTTTATATATCACCCCTCTGGAATTCCACACTGACATGGGTCATGGTTTGATCACAAAAATTTGTTGCCAATTACATAGGTAGAAATTAGAAATTAGAACTTTGGAAGGCATTTAGATTTAAGAATGCAACCATGTATAATCCTAGTTTTGACCCACACTCAGGAAGATGTATATAAACAGGGAAATTTCCCGCGCATTTTTAGTTTTTTATATTTTCTTCCCGCACACGTTGTAGCGGTTCCCGGTAAGCCCGCACAAATATGCGAGACTGTAACTCTTGAGACCTTGGTCATGGAACAAATACTGAATGTGGTCAGAAGGAGTCACATTCAGGAAGGCATGAAACATGGGAAACACTAAACAATTTACTACTAACAAAACACAAAATACAAAATGGCAGATACAACAATAAATGAATGGTACTTGGTCTAAATCAAACACTAGCAGTTCAGCCCACTTGGTGGTCTGGGTAAAGTACTCTAATGAATGGATCACTGAGGCCTCTCAGCGTTGTAGTTTTGAGTAACTACGAAATAATAGTAAAGTCAAAATGGAAAATAGTTATTAACAGCTTCTGCTGCTGGATAATAACAATGTCTTGCTCAAACATTAGCCAAGGCCAACTAAGGTTTTAACAACCATAAATCAAGTATTAACCATCCCTAGCAGTAGTGGTAATCAAATAGTACTCACAAATCAAGTAGTAACCATCGCAGGCTTCAGGTGCAAGCCAAGGACTGATAGTTGGCAAGGCAGAACTTGACCACTGGTGGAGGGATGGAGATCAATGCTGAGTGGCTTGTGGATCAAGTCACACCCACACTTACATACCACACCCAGGCACACCACACTCACTCCACACTGCACTCACCACCAACACTCTTACCTTATGGCAGGAATTATGACCAAAGGGTTGTAGCCATCTTACCATTTGCTGGGCTGTTGGGAGAGCTAATGATTATCTAGGGCCTAGAGCACACTTTGAAAGCAAATGGTATTTGGCAAGCAAATTGAAACAAATAGGTGCCAAGCACAGGAATGCATAAGCGGACTAGGCCACAGAATACCTACGCGTTGAACATCAATGGAAGTAAAGCAAGAAAAAAGCAACAGTTATGCAGTTCAAGAATTAAATCTGCAAATTCACACTTCTGGTATATAGCTAGTCAGACTAAGTACTTATATCATTAGTCTGCTTATATCGCAAGTTCACAAGGAATTTAAAAGCAAAGAAAACGCCAAGAAAATTCACCATAACGATATTGAAAACGTTTCGGAGTCCAGCTCCATCATCAGTTCGACTAAACTAAAAATGAATAAAATCACTTTAAAAGTCAAAATTCAAAGACAGACATAAAACCTAAACAAGACCTAACATAGTATCGAAATAAACAGGACTAGTTATGAACATAACTAGTCCTGTCTATCTAGGCAACTCATATCCAACCACAACACAATGCGGATACACGTTTGTGTGTACGGTCAGTGTGATTACGTAATTTGCGTTGCCACGCGTCCATATTTAAACTATTTTAGCTTTCTAAAAGTACGGCGCGCGGCACATTTTTTACCGGCATAGTACGGCGCACCGCGCAGGTCGTTAAAATGACAATATAAATTCCTGCACACCTGGCACATCTTCCTGACCATGGGTTTTGGCTACAAACCTACAACAATGGCCAATTTGTAATATTAGGCAGAAGTTACCCTGCCTAATTTCCCACTTTTGATAGAATGGCAATTGGCAGGTATGCTTTAGCCTTTAGTCACAGAGATACAGACTAAATTGAAATTTTCCTACTTATGAGTTATGACATAAATCTCATTGCTCCAAAGTGACAAATTTTTTATACATTTAGAATTGTGTTGTGCCACCCAATCAAGTAGTTTTATTAGCTATTAAATGAAAGATACCTAAATTATCAAATGGATATTGCACTGTTTTGAAATGGTGGAAAATCTCCAGCCATGACTCAAATCATCAGTCAAATGGTAGATATATTCAAAGCCAGGTCATACTCACAGCTTTATATAGACTTGCAGCTAGTTGAACATATAAGTAGTTATGTATGAAACTAAGACTAGAACTATTATGTATAGGGAATACCAAATTATGTTTTATTGTCAAAAATTTTAGCTTTTAAGAAAATCCATTTTTTCATTTAGATTTGATATTTAAAATTATGTACAATTATAATTTTGCTACCGTAAAATGGGGTTACTTTGACTGGCGGGATAACTTTGACCACTTTTTGTTTTCTTAACAAAAACCCCTAAAACTCAAAAACTATTTGACAGAAAAATTTTGTCAATGGCCGTCAAAGGCCTAACACTGAGGCTACGTAACACAATAGAAAGATTTAAAAAGTTTGCATATCTAATAGGTTAAAAAGTTAATAATGTGACCCACGAAAAAGAGCTATTATTCAAAGCCTGTCGGAGTACCCCCTCCAATTTTTTTATTTTTTGGTAAAATAACTCCAGGTTTTGATGCATTGTAGTAGAACTCTTCTAGTTACATATGCAAAAGACAAATTTTAGGAAAAAGTCATAGTTTGCAAATGGGGGGCACTGCCCCCCAATGGGGGAACTTTGACCACCTGAGGGCAGCCGTGACGGGGTAACATTGACCGGCTTGGAAATTAAGTTAAAATTACCATAGGTACCTATATAACATATTTTATGCTTGAAACACCTATTAATGTTTTTTTCTTTATGTTTCAGACTCTACAGAGTCTTATATATGGCAATTTTAACTTAATTTCCAAACCGGTCAATGTTACCCCATCACGGCTGCCATTAGGTGGTCACATTTTGCCCATTGGGGGGCAGCGCCCCCCATATGCAAACTATGACACTTTCCTGAAATCTGTCTTTTGCATATGTAACTAGAAGAGTTCTACTACAATGCACCACAACCTGGAGTTATTTGGAGTTATTTTACCAAAAAATATAATTGATTTTACCACCCGGTCAAAGAAACCCCAAGAGCTGGGGTAACAAAGACCATCACTTTTTTTGAAATTACATCAAAACTATGAGAGGCAGGAGCCAGCAATTTATGGTGAGTAAAGCTAGAGCATAGACCTGTATTTTGCATGTTTCAATTTATGTTTATCTTATCTAGTAAAAAAATGGCATTGTTTCGAAATATAAAAGTGGTCAAAGTTACCCCATTTTACGGTACTTTATTTTACTCTATTTGATGCCTTAAATAAAAAATAAGATTAAATGTTGAATTTCTTCTACATGTGTTTTTTCATTTTAAAATTAAATGCACAGTGACTGTCTCTGTGTTGTCCTTTGAACAAAATGTTTATATTCTTAGTCATAGTTTAATTGAATTTATGACAAATTTTTTTGCAGGCAAGATGATCTCAGATGTGCAGCTTGCGGTGTTTGTCAACATCTTGGGAGTTAGCTTGTTCCTACTGGTAGTTTTCTACCACTACTTATCTGCAAACAACCCTCACTCCCGGTAGTGCAGTGCACCAGTTCTTCTTAGCCATCCACCATCTTCTTTTCTTCCTGTTTTCAAAAGTTACAGGTGAGTTACAGCATTTTATTTAGGTCATATGACCTAAAACCTTATTTGTATAAATACTAACCAGCTAAAAACATGTGCTGAGGCATAGTTGAATACATTCTTATTCAATTGTAGATAAATTCTACTTTAAATTGTTTTGTTCTGTTGTTTGATCTGCACATTTCCTTGTTGCTGATTTAAATGCTTGGTAACTTTCTTTTCTTTCCACATTGAAAGGATTAGGAGAGAATTAGCTGAAGATACGGTAGATGACAAATTATTTGCCTCTATGCAAGCAGTTGTTAAGAATAGATCAAGTCAGTTCTTGCATTTATTTCTATGAACATAGATCACTTGTTTCCTCTCACTTTAGACTATTTTTTTGTCTCTACTACCACTGTCTGCTGTGTATTTTTATCTGCCACCACTTAACAGTAATCACCTGTCTATTATCGCAGTTGACCTGTCACTGACTTTCATCATTCGTCCCACTTGGAGTTAACTAAGTGGAGTTGACCCAAGTTGCAAGTCCTAACTTGGAGTTAACCCAAGTTGCAACTGCTTAAGCTGTAGATTCATCACTCGTCCCCCCCACAGTTAACCATGGGTCGCCGTTACTACTGCTACTACTGCAACACCAGTTTCCCATACAGTCGTGAAGGCCGCCTGAAGCACTGCAGTGGCCACGTGCATGCCAGGCTTCGGGCTCGCCATTATGAACAATACGAGACAGCACGTCAGCGCTACCACACGCAGCTCAGCAAGGAGAAGTGCAGGAAGCATCAGTCCAGCCAGGGCTGCCCCTTTGGTGATGAGTGCATATACTCGCATATGACACATGAACAGCTGGAGATGCTCCGTCTTGCAGGTGAAATTATTTGTTGGAAGTTGATTATTACTCTTGGCCTTAGAATTGCTGGTACATTCATATGTTAGAAGTTGATTATTGCTGTTGGTTTAAAGTTATTTGTTGGTATACTTATTTGTTGGATGTTGATTGTTATCTGGGCTATAGGTTTGCTGTTATTTATTTATTAGAAGACGATTATCACTCTGGGCCTATAGCTTTACTAAATGCTTGAATTTGCGTGAGGTAAAGGTTATTCAAAAATGTCTTCTAAATTTGACTTCAGCTCAAGACGAAGCCGTTCTTGAAGAATATGGACCCTTACCTTGCCAACTCACTTCATCTCTGACGTGCCCTTCAACATCGGAGGAGGCCGATAGCTTGATTCTGTCTATCCGACGACGACGTATTCTGCAGAAATATCCATTCATTACCGAGCCACAGAAACGACTTGGCACTTCAGATGACCATATGCAGCCGCAAAGTCAAACAAAATCTTCCAAGATGGCTGAACTGAGTCAGTACCAGCCACTGCCTCCGTCTCTGATGCCGTACACCTTGGATAACTTGCTGTCTGAGCCTCTTCCTGAGTGGGGCTGGCAGTGAACACTTGCACATTTTAGACTCGAAGCACGTGGTTTTTTAGGTGATTGATGACTTTTGCGTTGCAATTATTTTATCATAACCATTCAGGAACGTGTTAGGCTGCTAGGTATGAGAAATTGGCATCAATTTTCCCTTCTAGAACTAATGTGAGAACTCTACAACCACTATAAATCTTCCTGATCGCTTTTCTACTCTACATTTTTCTGTTGTTTTGTTGTTGACGGGCATTCCATTTGTCTAGTTATATCTGTTTTCGTGCTTACATTGTTTGTTCGGTTTTCCTACTTTTCCTATTGGTGGATGACTAATAATACAGTTTGTGTGATTAAATTGATTTTGAATTCCTTTATTTGCGTTTATTTCTGCCAGGGAGATTCACCATACTACTGTAGTTACGTCTCTTGAACAACTTGTTTTCTTTATTGCTTATGAAAACTTTTACCGCCGGCAATGCTATTCTTATTTGAAGTCCGTAACTTGAAACACGTAACATGAAGTTACGTTTTACGTACCTACGGTCAAACATTTCCACTGCCAGTGACTCGCATGCGATGTCCATTATAGTAGTAGTATAGTATAGTATCTTAGGCATTGAAGAATAGGCCTGTCGCCGATTCTTGTGCTTTTCTTTGCTAGACTGGCCTTTTGAGCAAATCTTTTCAACGGACGAACGCGTTCAAGAACAGACTAGACAAGCTATGCAGGAGCATATGTTTAGTCTTAAAATCCCTCGTAACTTACGGAACAACTGAAATCATATCTACCAAGTTAATGCCAAGGGTTACCACGTCGTTCTATTGCTTTACGCATCATACACTATTACTGAAGATTTTGGTACCGTCCACCATCGTAAATAAATCCCAAGCAATTGGTATATTTTATTATAATTGTAAATAGAATCAGTAACTATTGTAACCATTTTAACAATTGATGATACTATTAAATACGTAGCATAGGTAAGCATGAAATCCATTCGATCAAAAGATTTTAGAATTCACAAGACGTTCTTATAATGTTCAATGATATGTATTATGTACAACAAACGGGGTACTTGGAAAAATACAGGCTTATATCAGGCACAGAATATATCGATCAATACTCGAATTTGAGGATAAACCCACACGAGTCGCTAACCTTCTGTGGAACCAATTAGAATCTTCAGATTATGCTCTACGGACCAGTGTATCAAGGCCAGCCGACGGTTTTTTAATAATCAGGTTTACAAGTGTATCTTGACAGAGACTAGGCTGGTAGGTGCTTCTGGCAGCACGAGTCGTTATTCAAATTATTGTCAGGCTGTCTACCGTAACTCCCATACTTGTGTTAGCACTTACTGCGTCACTTCCGTGACGTCACTATAGCATGCCTATATAAGCTCCTCGAGCAGACCTTCAGTCAGTCTTAGGCAGCCCCAGGCGAGACGTAGTAAGCCATCATCATGTAGTCCGCACGATCACGGCCTGACTCCGGCGTCGAGTAGCCTCCGTCGTTAGAGTAACCATCTAAAACCTACCTTGTGTACTTATCACCAAGCTTCCTTGTATTCCTATCTAGTTCGTAAATATATAACTAAGAAACTCGCCTCTCAATCAACCTGCCGCTTATTCGGACCTTAGATACGAACCCTTGGACCCTCAACTCAAATAAACCTAAGAAGATCATCCGGTTATTAATCAATACTAAACTTTGAGATAATTATATATTATCGGGCCAGTCAGACCAAAAACGCATCCGGACATTATAATAAAAAATTGCAAGGATAGAAAATAATAATGATGGAATGAACGCTCGTTACAGCTTAAGGTCAACCTTGGTTAACTCGTCGGTGATAGTAATTTTAGCCCTCGGAAAGGAAGTGTGGCATTTAATCGTCCTGATTCGTAGAAAGCAGATCGTGACAATATATAATAGCTCGAAACATATGCGGATTTTATGTAGTGCTCTCAATTCGACTAGATTATCCTCAATACTTTGATAAAAATAGGGAGAGAATTTGTTTTAATTGGATAGACAGTGCATTTTTTCATCTGATAGATGAAATTAGATCGATTCGCGAACCTAGTTAATAGCACCGGATCATTTTGAGTTCCGTTCGTATTTTTTTGCGGTATCGCGTTTCCATTCAATTTTTTTAGTTGGAATACAGAAACAGAATTCTTTACTATATATTTTTTCTATGTGAAACGCAAAATGATTTTGTGTTATAGTTGCTAAAACCTCTTACGTATGATAACATGAAATCCGTGTTGGTGATCGAAAGACTCTCAGCTCCTTGCACCGTACCATGGTAGGGAAAGGTTTCAGAACACATAAATATGGGAAACTTAGCTCAAGACTATGCGATAGAAAAGGAATCAAATGCTGACAGTAAACCGCCTTCTTAACAATAGTTCGATAGTTTAAAAAAACCTGGGAAGCGTCACGAACTTCACAATCATGACATTTATCCTGCTACCTATGCTCGTTTCATCTTGCGAGTTGCGAGCTAGGAGTTGCAAGTTTCGTTTCAACAATAAACAAAGAATGTTTTTTAATCAAGCAGAGATGATGAGTTATATATTTCAGAGCACTTCACAACCACACTACTTGCATTGGACTGCCGCACATGTCTACGTTCAACATTACGCATGAGTTTCTCACAGGTGCCGGTCAAAATATTACTCGCACCATAGCTGACAACTTGCTTCGATCAAATTTTTTAGGGATTCGTAGTTTACTTATGGAATCACCACTCGCCCTGATTATATTAGCATTGTAACATATATGTTATCCATTTACATGATTCTGGCGGTCCCCGGGGTTTCTTATACGATACGCCTCGTTGCGTAAATATTAAAAAACTATAGTATTTCGCCTATTCAAATTTATGTGGGAGTCTTACTCCTGAATTGGTTAAAAATTTGCACGTAAGAAACCCTATAGGCTGGATGCAAATCCCAGTCATTAGTAGCAATGGTCTCCTGTGATATGCTTTAGAGTTTAGACGCATAATTTTAGGACAACTCGAGACCTTGAAAGTAACGTCATTTGATTCACTTGTGAAACCAATTATTTGGAGATTTATTACTCTCATTTGGTACTGTTTGACCACAATATGCAGCCTGTAAGGCAACGATGAATGGCTGAAAATATGAAACTAAGTCATTTGTTTTGCTTGCTGCGTCTTTACAATATACCCATGACGTACGGCCGTGTTTTTTCGCTAATAAATGAGATAAGTTCAGGATCTAGTCCCTTCACTCCTCCTGGGTCAAGGCCGTCATGAATATGATCCTTATCGTTAGTGACGACTTTGAATGGCACGTCGCCTCTATAGATGCTATGTTCTGCAATACCGCTAAGGTGACCATGGTCATGCAATAAATCATGGGAATTTTCATGAGAATGATGGTATTCAAGGGGCTTGAATGATTGTGGTTTATGAGGGTCCACTAATGACGGTCTAAAGTTATGATCGTGGTCGTTGGCGTTCAACTCGACGATGTAGTCAGGCTGAACTCCGTCATGAATGTCGTTCAAGCTATGGTCGTCGTAATGATGATACTCAGGACTACCGTGGTGCTTATGGGAATCATGAATGTTGATTCCACTGTCGTGATGAATGCCGCTTCCGTGGTGGATGTCATCATCGTGATACTCGTCTCCGCCGTTGTGGTGAACGACACCACCGTGATGCTCTTCAAAGTGGTGGTGTTCTCCATGGTTGTCATGTTGATGGAAATGTTTTGGGGGACTTAGATTCTTGAAGTGTATAGGGCCATTGTGCTTCGGTGGACCATGGTGCTTTAGTGCTCCTCGAAAGTGTTTATGATGCGGGGGATGATGTGAGTGGTGATGACGAGGAGGAGGAGGTCCACGGTGCTTCACAGAGCCCAAATGAGGTCTCACTGGACGCCATTGCTGCGGTCGATGATGATGGCTCCGGGATGACCGATATGGCAGGGCGCCCCCAAAGATGGACAGAACTCGGTCGACGCCGTCGCGCCGCTGCCGCACAACAGGTTCAGAAGTTTGCAAGCTTGAAGTGAAGGTCTCGTCGTTTTGAGCAGGACTCCGCGATAAGCGGAAGTTCGATGGCCGATCTTCCCGTCCTAAAGGCGAGAAAAAACTGGATTCGGATGAACCCAAAGAGTCGTGTCTCGAAGTGTCAGATGAGAGGAGATGGAAAGCTTGACAAGAGGCGCCCAAGACCCACACCTGCAATATTAAGAATTGTGTTACTTCAAATTTTCAACTTTTTAGTCATTTGAAGTGGCAAATGAAAAATATGTGCTTTTGGAAATAGTGACTGATCTGAGCAAGTCTTCTCTTGTTAACAATTGGATTCTCAATTGGACTCGTTTCATTTTTCATAGAAATAAAATCTAGTACTGATGACCTTGGAAATTACTTCTTGTGTGGACTGTCGCGGGTCGCCGATTCTAATGATTGCAGAATATTCGCATCTAACCGGGTCACAAACCCGCAACACACTCCGGAAATGGTGATCTTTAGCCCCTGGTGATCTTTAGCCCCTTGTTTTTGTGCTTATTAAAATTAGTTCGCAACTTATGTCCCAATACAATTTTAGTTCAATTATTCATATTAAATCACCTTAAAAGTTAAAATATGAACCTTAGCTTTGAAAATGGTTCAATGACTATGATGATGTTAACAGCTCCCAAAATTGTTAATTATAATGTCTGTGGCGCTAAATACATTTGGTTTCGAAACATGTGTCAAATAACTTTGATAATGACACTGAAACTTAATTTGTGTTTAGGCTGTAACCTATTTGAACTGGTCCGACACCCCCCGTGATGCAAATACAAATGAAATACAATACAGGAACAATAATTACCTCGGAAATAATAGATTAGTTATGCGGTTGTTACAAGAGGACTATGAAGAGGATTTTGACAAGCAGGAAAAAGTTTGTCTGCAGTTCATTCCTGCGTAGTTTCTCATCTCCATGGCTTCACAACGTGGGTTCACCGAAATTCAGTTCCGCACAATTGCGTGTCCGATGCGTAAACGGAAAAATTTCCCGCGCCGCTTCTCGCGTCAATTTTTCAAATTGACCGCACCCCTTTGACCTGCATACGAAACCCAGACATCAGCCAGCCTCATTTTGCGCCGCAATGCTTTCACTGCTCGTTTGTAGTATTACGCTCGCACAATCAAACTGGAGCGAGAGATGCTCGCCGTCTAACAATAAAGGTGAAAAAATGGACGAGCGTTGTGAGACAACCTCGCTCGAGAGTTTCCTGGTTACGATAGACGAAGTTCAAGAATGTGGCCCATGGAGAAGAAGCGAGGACGTTAACTGTAGATCTAACTTGCACATAGCTTGCCGTAACCACTGCATTATTATGAAACTTCGTGTCGTGGTATTTTGTTTCGTTGCATATATAAGCTACGTGCGGTATTTCGCTCAACACTTATGAGGCGAAAAGTTGATATGCTTAGATTTGCAGAACACGTTCAAGCAAGAAGCGTGACAAATGTATTATATTAATGCTGACGCTTTCGGTGTAACAAGTCACTGCGGGCGTGGTATATTGTTCCGGCTCACTGCTGTATACAACCTTCTGTTGCGTCATTCTTGGTGGTTTTACATTCTTTATTCACATCAGACTCTTGTAAAAATGAATTATGTGTAGTTAATAAAAATATTGATGGAGTGTATACAAAGGGAAGATGTGGATCAATAATAGTGAAGGGGTTTAAATTTATGACACGCAATGAAAAAGAAAGATCTTTCCCTCGATAGAATAGTGTATCAGGTTCATGTCATGTGCAGCCTGGGAAATTTGTGTAATTTGTGTTATTTGGATCATCATAGGATTAAATTAATGCCAGTTTTCAGCTACAAATGGAATGGAAAATTAGACGTTGATTAAATTCTAGATAAATCTACATTTTGATTGAAACCTGAACCGCGTCTAAAATGAAAAAATTAGCTTCCATTAATACTTACGCATAATTTTACGACAATGATCCATTCACGCGGAGTGTCCTATCCTCGTTTTTTTTTCTTATGCTTCGCGATTCAAATTTAAATATGAGTCTTGGCGGCTGGAATTATAAACAAATCCTGGAGTCCTTATATTGAACTTGCTTTTAAACGATGCAACATTTCTATAATTATTGCGTGGACTGCATGATAGTAATGAACATTTTCTTCCAGGTATAATTTTAATTACAAAAATTTATGCAAGATAATGTATCTCTTTGTTGCCACGCAGTCGACTGAGGGATTAGAAGCAATGGATGTCGGGTTAATATTATTCTGTCAGGCAAAATTCTGCATTAAGTTCAAAGCTAACTATAATTAATTATTGCTTTATGAATACTGAGGTACTGGATGAGTCTTTTGATCAATTTATCACTAAGGAGATTCCCTAGATTTATGTCAACATTCATGATCCTAGGGAAGGAATGAAATGAAGTGCTTGCGGCCTTTGTGCGTATATGCTTATGAAAGAGAGCCACTGTAGCGTACAGGGTGATGCAACAAGCTTGCGGCCGGTGCGTGGTGCAAGGCATCGATTTGTCCATGTCAACAATGTTGTTAAGAATTATACGTCTGAGAGCCGCGAAGAATTTAGAAATCAGTATCACTTTATTGCTCGGAGTGTTCCGGCCGCAATTACTCCTTGCTTGTATTGTGCCTGACATAGACATTATTGGCGCATTTCGTATGTACTACTCACACTCCTATTGCTTACAATTGAGTGTGATTTGTGGCATCCATTTCTTGAGGACTCTGTTTCGAAATCCGGTCTTATCCGGGCTTATTGTAGACTTTATTCAGGTGGTTGTGTATTGGTTTATTATCGTGCAAGAAAAAATAAAGTTTCAACAGAAAAAAATTTAAAAACAAATTTGGTGAATCTTCAGCTTAAATTTTGACAATAATGCAATGGAGTAATCTATACCTTACTATAATCTAAAACTAAATCTGTAACTAAAATAACTAAAATAGTCTCTAAAATAATTATGACACAGAATCATACTGTTATAGGAGCACTAAACATATTGTGTTTTTGTGATACCAACGCCGCCAATGATTTTAATTGAAATAATGTTAAGAGCACAAAGTCGAAAACAAATACTCATATAATAGTAATCATAAATCGTAAGTTGACCAAGAATTTTTAAAGGCAAAAAGCAAAGTCACACGTTATCCGCGTGGCATGCCAAGCAACACTTCGAAGAATGTAAAGCAACTGATGCGTTAACTTCAAGTGATAATGACTGCGTTGCAAGCGATCGGATCTTCTTCTGGGACCATAGCTGGAACGGCAAATATCTTACCAGAAACGCTTGACCCAATACCCACAACACGAGCTTGGAGTGATTGAGCTATTAATGGCAAGGTTGCCACCATTGAAAGCAAATGTTGCTCAGATTCACGCAAGGTTGCTGAACGTCTACTGTATGTGAATTTAGAATGCTGACTCAAAATCGAACCATTCGCTTTGGCATTGGCTGATTGAAAAGGAAAATCTGACCCCACTCAACAAGACAGCCTCTCGTTACATTATTTTACACTTATAACAAAAATGTAAGAATTTAACTTGATGACCTCATTAGCTTATCCAACACCAGCACCATACATATTAAAGCCTTCTAGCAACAGATCGAGGCCTCCATTGCTAGCCTGGCAATAGCGACAGGTCTGTGGAAACTAAATTTGCACATCATTCTACCTTGGCCAGACGAGAATACTTGACAGCTAGTTTTCTTTTTTGTCAAATGTGGTGAAATCCTTAATATTCATAAAACAATTAAAGGCCGCGTGAGAAATAGGGTGAAATGATAAGGTCTACCAAAAATAAGACAAAATGGTAAAGTATTTCACAAATAATGTTAAATTATAAGGCCTTTAAGAGCTGGGTAAAATAATATGGTATTTTAAAGATATGGTAAAATTATAAGGACTTTCGAAGATGAGTTAAAATGAAAAGTCCTCATATAGATGCAGTGATATTATAATATCATTTCAACATATGGCAAAACAATATCCTTTTTCAAAGACTAAAATGATAAAAACTTTCAAGATAAGGTAAAAGATAAGGTTTTTTCCGCAACTCATCCCACAACTCGGACGCGACGCCGCCTCACCGCCCAACTTTCACTTTTATCAGTTCTACTGGTAATCCTGCGAAGTGAATGTCATACTTCTTTCAGTTCTGTTTATGATCCTGCAAAGTCAATGCCCTAATCCTAATGGTTATACTGATAATCCTGCGCAGTGAATCCCCGATTTCTAATGGTTCTATGGAAAATTTGCAAAGTGAATGCTCCTCAGCTGGAAAGTCGGCCATGTCCTGCTACGAAGGTCAGGCACGTGTGAAGCAAAACTATTGACCCCAAGTGGAGAAGTTCAATCATTTGCCAAAAAACCGCACTTCTGAAAACCTAAAAAATATAGTTGGTAAATAACTTGAAATGCTGCCTTAAATTCGGTTGAGTACAAGCGACGGCTCGTTAAATCATTTATAGGCTTTCAACATATTTTACCACGTTTTTCTTAGCTCGCTTTCGTGTCCGTCTGTCTGTCTGTCTGTGATGATCAAATCTTGTAATCGATATTTCACCAACTTTCCCGCTAGCTAGCGCTCTGAAACTTTTAGGGAAGCTCAGCTCCCGATGACAATACAATAATCAATAATTTGTTGCACGTTTCCAGGCGTATTTATTCTTTCATTACCGAACCTTTCTTTATTACAGGCACGCACCCAGATAAATACGGGAACAACAATGTATCCCCTTCGAATACAATTTTCTACAGAACTTCGAAAAGAATTTTCTTTCGTGCATTTGCGCGGCTAACTGAAATAAAATGAATATTATGTAGGATGGCTGACCTTTGTGCAGTAGTTATAAACTCTAAAGAAACTCACAAGCAGGGGTTGGGAACCTATAATGCACGTCATCCTCGAGAGGATATTCGTGTTTAGACTGCGTATATCGATGATACGCTGCGTATCATCGATACGTACGTCAAGAAATTTCCAAAATTCGCGTGTTGTGTGCTTTTCGCTTTAATCATAAATCTGCCCGACACACGTTTTTTGGGGCGAGCCATAATTTATTTTCTACTTTTTAGTCCACAAGAAAAACGTGGTTTTTTAAAAAGTTTTTTTTAGAAGTATTTTATTTTGTTTCAAAATCACTTCACGCTTAAAGTTGTTCTTTGTCTTATGTGA